AGTATCATGAAGTGGAATATATTACAAACTTTGTAAACAGGCATTGACAGAATTAGAAGTAGGTATTGACATTGCTGATCCATCTGTTTCGTCACCTACACATTGCTTGGTGGAATGTCATGGCTTGGAGTTGTAACCTTGGTGTGGGCCTTCAGTACATATTTTACAGGTGCTTCACATAATATACGACCACTTTTGACGAGTGCTCATTTGTTCTGAAGAGAATCAATGTACACAAGTGTCAGAAATAGACAGAAAAAAACAAATAGTATTGGACTTTATTTCATGGTCGCCGTGAACGTATCATCAGGGGTTGTTCTGATAGTGAATATGAGGTAGTTAGGGCTGGGACGGGTAAATCGGGTACTTAGGTCGTTCCTGAGTCGAACCCGGATACCCACAGGACTACCCTCACCCGTGGTTACACTATAAATGACTAATGTTTGCATTTCTTTCTGACTTTGGACGCATTCCTTCTGACTTTATATGTTTGAATAGAGATGAATCTTCAGTCAACTTCAGTGAATGCATGACCAGAACGTTTTATACGAGTATTTAAAAACATTTTGCCATGGCTACGGTCAAACTATTCCCACAATATCCAATTTGCTTCATACCGTTACCTCTAGTGCTGGGACGAGTCCAAATTTACTACCCGGGTACCCATCCCCCTATTACCCGACCCTACCCAGGTACCCGCTGTTGGTCTCAAGAATTAGGTATAAATGTCCGATTGGGAATAGTTTGACCGGGATTACACTTTATAAGTATACTATATTTAATTCTATGCAGTGATGCTGTCATACAAATACTTGTATCATGATGTACCGCCAATACTCATGCTCTATATCTGTTCATCAATAACTTACTGTATATTTTGTAATTACACTGCAATGCTTTGTAAGAAAGTTGATTGATTTTTAGTGTTTTGGCAAATGTTGTTATCTCATGAAAGTATGGGGTACATTGATTAGATACATGAGAGATGTTTATGTCTTGACCGGGGTTGAATTCCCGACATGGGTGCAATGTGTGAAGCCAATTTCTGGTTGCCCCTGCCGTGATATTGCTTGAATAATGCTAAATGCGGCGTAAAAACTCACTCACTCACTCACTCACTCACTCACTCACTCACTCACTCACTCACTCACTCACTCACTCACTCACTCACTCACTCACTCACTCACTCACTCACTCACTCACTCACTCACTCACTCACTCACTCACTCACTCACTCACTCACTCACTCACTCACTCACTCACTCACTCACTCACTCACTCACTCACTCACTCACTCACTCACTCACTCACTCACTCACTCACTCACTCACTCACTCACTCACTCACTCACTCACTCACTCACTCACTCACTCACTCACTCACTCACTCACTCACTCACTCACTCACTCACTCACTCACTCACTCACTCACTCACTCACTCACTCACTCACTCACTCACTCACTCACTCACTCACTCACTCACTCACTCACTCACTCACTCACTCACTCACTCACTCACTCACTCACTCACTCACTCACTCACTCACTCACTCACTCACTCACTCACTCACTCACTCACTCACTCACTCACTCACTCACTCACTCACTCACTCACTCACTCACTCACTCACTCAAATGTTTAATAACCTAAGATCCAGTATGGGGCAAGACCAAAATCCCAAGAAACTCTCAGGAGTCTAATTGATGAACAAGGTCCCCCATCCATCTTCTCTCTGCCGCCAGCGTTGCTTAGCTTCACTGATTCGTGACCAATGCTCTATCATTAGGATAAAGTGGTTCCTCATGTGTTTACCTCGGATATGAAGGGATCGAGAAAGTGTTTGTACAGCAGGTGGGGAAAACAAAAAGGAACAATTCTCTGGCATCGCCGCATCACTTTCAATCCTGGGTGTTAGTAATTTATATTGCCATTAAATCTTTGTCAAATTTTCCCATCATATAAAGCATACTGTGTTATCCAAGAATGACATGGTTGACAAACTGACATTGTATCATATATGTTGAATAGCCGAGTTCAGTATCTGACCAGTTGGTATTCTTGGTGGGGAAAAGAATGTTCCTCCATCATGTTTTGTGTTTTTATGTATTGGAGAAAACACGCTTACGAGGTTTTGGTAGACAGAGCATGCCCCGCGGTTTTTCCCGACCCCCCAGTGCATGCTCTGTCTACCAAAACCGAGGGAAAGTGTTTTTCCATACTTATAAACCGTTTAAATTGATTAAATGTTATAACGAGCATCTATAAATTGATGCGCTTCATTATAGCGCTTCCTTGAAGATGTCATATCATAACTTGCACGTGAAATTCGCTGACTTGCCAGGCGTTCAAGAGCACTTGGATGTGTCAACAACAAAAGACAACTAAAATACTTACTTTTAAATTAAAGTGAAATCTTCGGTTTCTAAATGTTTGTGTTGCAATATTCCACTTCTTTTAAACTTTTCAAAACGAAAATTCGCTAATTTTAAAGGTGTTTTTTGCTTTACAAGATTTTCGACTTTAAACAATCCAACTGTTACGTAGAGGTAGTTGTAACGTAACGGCTAGCAGTTACTGCACGTGCAAATTGTGCAGCATTGATAAGCACTTTTTTCAAAGCACGTGTTTTGAAACCTCGCTGTCCTTTCACCAGAGACTCTGAAGTGATGTCGCTTTTAAATGTCCACGCGGAACTGTACACATGACATTCAATTTTAATTGAATTAAAAGTTTGAATTGCTACTTGTTGTCATTTTTTCAGTTACTTGGTTAAACCTGGGATTTGAGGTTTTACATTCAAAGTAAAACCTCCCGAACGAAAATAAAACCTCATAATAGGTTTTACTTTGAAAGTAAAACCACACAATAGTTTTTAATGCCTATAGAAAGAACTCTCTTACTTAATAGAGATCCCAATGAATAGGTTTGTTTATAAGGAGGAAAAAAATGTCCCACCTCCCTCTTCATTGTTTAAAAGACCGCCTCCGTGGTCTAGTGGTAGAGCGTCCGCCCGGAGAGCGGAAGGTCCGGGCTTCGATCCCCGGCCGCGTCATACCAATAGACGTTAAAAGATGGTACTTGATGTTACCCTGTCTGGCGCTCGGCATAAAGGGGCTAAAACAAGGACTGGTCGGCTCGGAGTCAGTATACTGTGTCTGAGTGAGGTATTCATGTTAAACTGCGGCATGGTATCTCAGTGAGCTAGCACTATAAATCGGCATCAGTCCGGACTAGTACAAGCAGCCACACAAACACACACACGTACATGCACGTCGCTGTATAAGTGCAATAATCTTGGACGCGACGTTAAACCCCATTTATCCTCACCTCATTGTTTAAAAAAAGTGTGCGGTGACTTAACTGTGCCCGAGAAGCATTTTTTAACGCAATCTACTAAAACATGTACATGTGACCTGTGTTTCTTGAAACACGAATCGCCCATGACCCATGGGGCTGTAACACTGGAACAATATTTCTTTGGAATAAAATAAGCACTTGTTTTGTCCATGCACATTTAGGTCTGATTTCAAACAAATCCTATCTGAATACATGAGACTTTCTGGATAGCAACTTCTTACATTCTTTGTCACGACGTTTCAGGGCTACTTCTTGCTCCTTGTTAATCCCCTGATGAAGGAGCGAGAAGTAGCTCTGGGACGTTGTGACAAAGGATAAAAGAAGTTGCTATACATAAAGAGTCTCATATATTCATGTTCTTCCAACTTCTGGACCGCCTCCGTGGTCTAATGGTAGAGCGTCCGTCCGGAGAGCGGAAGGTCTGGGGTTCGACCCCCAGCCGCGTCATACCAAAAGATGGTACTTGTTGTTACCCTGTCTGTATTCATTAAGGGGCTAAAACAAGGACTGGTCGGCTCGGAGTCGGTATACTGTGTCTGAGTGGGGTATTAATGTTAAACTGCGGCATGGTATCTCAGTGAGCTAGAACTATAAATCGGCAATAGTCCGGACGAGTACAAGCACACACACGCACACACGTGCATGCACGTCGCTATATAAGTGCAATAATCTTGGACGTGACGTTAAACAAAGTTTCACCTCACCTCACCAACTGAGGTGAAAGACTTCATATCCAATTTGCTTCATGCCATTACCTCTAGTGCTGGGACGAGTCCAAATGTACTACCCGGGTACCCATCCCCCTATTACCCGACCCTACCCGGGTACCCGCTGTTGGTCTCAAGAATTAGGTACAAATGTCCGATTGGGAATAGTTTGACCGGGATTACACTTTTTAAGTATAATATATTTAATTCTATTCAGTGATGCTGTCAGACAAATACTTGTATCATGATGTACCGCCAATATTCATGCCCCATATCTGTTCATCAATAACATACTGTATGTTTTGTAATTACACTGAAATGCTTTGTAAGAAAGGTGACTGATTTTTAGTGTTTTGGCAAATGTTGTTATCTGATGAAAGTATGGGGTATATTGATTAGACACATGAGAGATGTTTATGGCTTGTCACGCCGCAGACCCGGGTTGAATTCCCGACATTGGTGCAATGTGTGAAGCCAATTTCTAGGGAATATGATAAATTATATTTGTCTAATTGATGTTTTATACATTGCTAAATTCATTGCTTGTTTTATATTTCAGTAATGAAATTGAACGATCTTTATACAAATAATAATCTGTAAATTTCTTGTCGGATACGCACAAAAAAAAAAGCTGCCCCGGGTGAGGTTCGAACTCACAACCTCCGCATTCCTCATCCCGTGATGACACGGGGAAGGTACTGACTATAAGTACGGCGCGCTAACCGATTGTGCCACCGGGGCGCTGACTGGCGTGGACGAAATTAGTAAATAGATTCTACAGCCTATTTTTAGCTACTTCCAATTTTTATAACACTAACTAAAAAACTAGTTTTAATTCATAGACCTTCTTATAACTACGGTATAACACGTAGTATTCATTCAAAAATGAAAAGTGCTTGCTAATACTTCTTTTATCATTCTCTCGCACCTGCGAGATATGAAACGTCAAACAGTAATGGCTGCCGACATGGATGTCAACACGTCAGTCGCTTCCAGTTGCTAAATGGTAATTTATTTATTATTCCCGGCTTGATTTGTTTGTGAAGTAATGTGCCCCCTTGCTTTGCGTTTGGTTGTCATCCAAAAATATGTTTTCGTACAGAATCAAACAAAAATAGCCTGTGGATATATAATTTCATAAGCACAAAAATACGGATTGGCCTTGGTCTCGCCTATTCAACAGTGGATAAGCGATTCACTCAGCTGTGTTTGTCATCAACTGGTCACACAGTTGCTTTATCTGCTTGACTAGATATAGATCAGCCGTGTACTGACGATTTGCGCACTGACATATAATATTTTCGATCACAATTAACCAGATTAATTCTTTGGAGATAGGATGTTAGTGACAACTTTTAACCTATCAAGACCCTATTTTCAGTTCATATTTACACCTCAGATACAACATGTTTATCCCAAATCAGATGACTTATGTGCAGCAAAAATAATCGTATTTATATTGATTTGTCATGACTGATAAGGGGTAAGATTGGAAAATCAGATGACTTTTGTGCAGCAAAAATAATCATATTTATATTGATTTGTCATGACTGATAAGGGGTAAGATTGGCAAATAGCTCCTGGAAACAATCAGTTGTGTACGGTCCTGTGAAACAAGACAAAGTTTTGTCTCGCATTCAAATTATATTGGCTTCCGGTGCAGTCAGTGTCGCTCGCTTCACTGATCTCGTGTGTCTCTTCGATCCTTAGCATCGCCACTAACATCACCAGTTAAGATATTTATGATTATAATAGCATATAATAGTCCATAATAATCCATCTATGAAACCATTCTCTCTCTGCAGTGACACCTTTCTGATAACTTGAGTACAATGAGTTGGTGGGACACAAGCAACTTCACCAACTTGGCCTCCCAGGCCTTGAAGAATGCACAGAAGACCATTGACAAGGCTTTAGACATACCGGCATCTGAAGAGGATGCAAAATCGCAAGGTACTTACTTGTGTTGATTACTTAACATGCTTAATGTTCAGGTCATTTATTTTCTACTCTTGGCCAGCAGTAGACAATGATTAGCATCTGACTTGTAACAAATTATTCTTGGTTGTCTTGTAAGGCATACATCAGTATAAAGTTAATGCCCTTTCATGTATTTGCATTTTTCAAGATGAAGACAACAGTATAAATTCTGACACCGGAATAGCATTTTGTGTTGTCATCCAAAAGTCATTACTTGAAGACCAGTTGTTCATCAGCTAAATGTTACTATTTTAACTAGGGCTGTTATGATTCACTCGCGTATTCGGTGAATCGAACCGTATCCATTCATGAATTGAATTCGTTATTCGTGGTCACTAGAATCGAATATTCATGAATATGCAGTCATGTGCATTTACATACCCTGACCCTTAAAATATCCATAAGAACATATTATATGCATAGATTTCTTCAGTGACAAGTATTTTAGTCACTGGTCTTTGTCGCATTTGAGCAGACACTAGTACCTGGATAAGTGAAGTATATTAATGTATAATAAATTAATAATTAACAAACCATGTCAAATAATTTATTTTGTTCTTGTTTCACTGAATATCATAAATAATACATCAACTACTGACTTGTTATTATTCGTGAATAGATATTCGTATTCGTTACCCTATATTCATGATACGAATCGTATTCGCCTTATAGTGTATTCGTTGCAGCCCTAATTTTAACTATTTTCCATATATTTTAATTTACTTAAGTTTGTTCGTTACATGGATAAACATGATTATGATATAAAAATATGATTACAATTTACATTATAACTTTTATTCGTATCCCAGAATTAATTTCTGTTCAGCATGTTCAGTGTAAGGGTGTTGACAAGTTCAGTGTATACCTTTAGCTGATAAAACTTTTTCAAATCAACAGCAGCTGCCAAAGTAGCATCAGCTAGTAAACAGAAGAAGACAGAAAAGCCATCTGGGGCAGGTGGTGGGGATTTCTGGAACTCCTGGCTTGGAGCTGGGCAGGAGCCAGAGGGAAAAGAAAGCACACCCGGAGAGAATCCAGAGACTGATAAAAAAGGAAAACAGGCCGCAGCCACCTCGCCCAGTTCTTGGAATTATGGGTGGGGTGGGCAATCAGAATCTGACAAGGGTTCTGAAAGTGAGACATCATCACCATGGTCAAGCTATGATCTTGGAGGACTTAGCTCCAGTGGCTCAAAAAGTAAAGAAGGGAGAAAAACGAAAACTGATGAGAAGAGTAAAAGCCCTGATGGGGAAAAGGCACATGGACCTCTTCATCTGGGACAGAAAAAGTCCTTGAAATCGCCAAGATCCAGTACCTCTGGGCCTGCTGGCAAAGACACTGGGGTATCTTCTGTGACAGAATCTGTGAAAGTTGATGAAGAGGAAGGTAAGAGAAAGGAGGAAAAGGATGTGTTGCAGGAAGCGGATGTGTTGCAGGAAGCACCTACCACCACCAAGGTTTCTGCGGATTCCTCGGAAGACACGGAAGCATTTGGTTATAAGGCCAGTGATCCTGAACCACTGGACATGAGAGGAAGTGATATTCTATCTGAAAAGGGATGGAGGAATTCTGAAAAGGATGGTGGTGATAGTGGGCCACCCACAAAAAGCGAGGTTCAAATCTGGGCAGATAATTGTGTGAGTGAGGAAGGGCTTTTGAAGGAAACAGATTTTCAGTACTCTGATACCTCAGATGCTGATGCGCATAATGTGAATACGTTTGAACAGGTACTCGCCTCAGATTCTGTGATACCACCAAGGATAAGCCAAACCGATACCACTCATCCAACTTCAGTTGAACAGCCAGATCATTCCATATTGCCAGATGACAATACAGACACTGCAAGAAGTGAAAGCATTATTTCAGTTGGTGAAAACGAAACAATAGTATCTTCTACTGAAGATAGCCTGGACACATCTCAGAGGGTGGTCCTGGACATTCCTTCGGATTATACAGAACAGATTGGGCCCAGCACCCCATTATCATCAGAAGCTTCCATCATCACTTTGTCCAGTCCTGGTCAAGATGACCTAGACGACCAGGGCAGCCCTCCCCAATCCATATCCAGTCAACAAATCACATCTGAATACATCAACATCTCTACCACTCAGATTCAGGCACCTCTGGATAACATGGACACCTTGTGCAGTGTGGACACGCCATCCGTGGAGAGCATAGCATCGGAAATGGACACAGCTGATGAAAGTGCTCTGGAAAGGGAGTTCCTGGAAAAGGAGCAGATTGACCTTGGGCAGTCCAGTGGGAATGACTCATCGGATGCTTCGAAGCTCGACAGTAGTATGGACACGTGTACTTCGGGGGAGACTGTGGTTGGTCACAGTCCTGTTGTGGGAAGGGAGAGTGATAGTGACCATGAACATGATGTTGAGAAAAGTGATGAGAGTTTCCCCACAACTTCTCCCAATTCATCTTTTGTTAAAAATATGTTGGAGGAGGCTATGGAGGATGTGTCCAAACCTGAGGATTCCGGAAGTGATAATCATTCCTGTGGTGAGAAATCGGAAAGTTCTAAAGTGGAGTCTGAGATTGATAAGAGTATAAGTGGACAAGAGTCCAGTGATGACATTGAAACAACCACTTCATCAGACATTGAAATCATATCAACACCAACACCAAATGGAGATAAGAATGAACGTCCATTTGACTTGTCTCCCTTGAGAATTGCCCTGCAGAAGACTGTACGACGAGACAGGGAGACGCACAGTCACCGGCGGACAGACAGTCAGTCAAGCAGCAGTACTTACAGCAAGGCGGGAGAAAGTGATCAGATGAGTCCAGGTCGGGACAGTCTGGAGCGGCAGGATCTCGAATCTGGGGATGAAGGTGAGGAACTCTCCTCTGTGTAGAGTTGTGTCCCTTAGGCCATATAGGCAGATCAGGATGCGGGTGGGTTCGAATCCTGTTCAAAGCGGTGTAAAGTTAGTAGGTAACAGTAATATGTATACCAACCTCAGATGACAATCTCTTGCATGTGTTGTCTATTGTTGGTTTGTTTTGTTTTAGTAACCATGGGAAAATATATACAGAATTACAGTTTTGTTAATCAAAGCATATATAGATATAAATGTATCGATAGCGATTTTGAAATTGCATGACTTGTATAAAAACATGAAGATTGCTGTGGAACATCAACATCATACCAATAATGCCCATATAGCAATCAGATAATAATAGTACTCAAAAGAAGTTAAAGATCACCACATGCACAAAGCGATCTTAGCGCTAAGTCTATCAAAGTCCTATGTTAAGGTATGGGAGTTATGATCATCTTAGCGCTAAGATCAATTTGGTCAAGTGGGCCCAGATTCTTTCATATCACTATTGTTAATGTGTCACATCATGTAGTGATATGAACGAATCAGGTGGTCCTTAACTTCATTTGAGTAATATAGATTACAGGATGATATAGACTATGCAATGTTTGCCAGACCTGCGTGCCCCTGACCTGTCTGCTGTGAAGGAAGAGGACATGGACAGCCCCTACCATCCCCAGAAGCTGCTCCAGGTAAGTGAGGGAGTCCCCCGGTCCTGTCTCTCTCTTTCTCGCTGCTTCCACAGGTCACTGATACACCAGGGGCAGAGGGGATAGAGCTTATAAATGTCTTCATTGCTCATGTTGTTAAGGGTGCTTTTTCTATGCTACTGAAAAGACTTTAAGGACCATCAATCTTTCATACTACTATAGTTACTCATGCCGTAATATGAAAGAATTGGTGGTCCTTATCTTTTTTGTGTATCATAGTTTTGTTAGTTTGTAAATTGAATACAGAAGTGGTTTTACTCATTTGGAAACTGTTATGAAAGAATTTGGATTTGCATTATTTTATCCTGTATTTTTTTTTAATGTTTACTTTGTTGCTGCAGCCGGCTTTGATTATGGTGCAAGTCAGCTTTCTTATGATGTGTAAATTTGTTTAACATGTTTAAAGTGATGTTTCCTCTGTCGTGGTGTAACAGTGAGGAGGGATGCTGGTTTACCATATATACAGTGATTCAAAACCAATGGTTACATTCTTGTTGGTCTTTACATGTTCTCTCCTGTTGGGGTTCTGAAGGACGGGTATGAAACAACAGTTATCCCCCTTGCATGTTGATCCACAAGAGATACGAGACCAACTGGGTTGACACTTCTGGGAGCTGCCATGCTTTTTGTGCTTTTTCACCTCTTGTCACATATATGATATAGTTACTGGTTACACATTTCTGTATGGTTAATACCTGCTGTGGTGAGGCACTAGATAAGCACTTACTGTTCACAGTGTAGCATTGTAATATGGCCCAGGGACACATGACTGTACATGCTGTAGAAACTTGTTAATAAAAACGAATATATATTTTGAAAAAAACAAGTACATGAAGTATAAGCCATCGAACAGAATGACTGGACAAATCTGTATGTCTGAACTGTTGTTTTCGAAAAGCTTTGTGAGGTGTGGCATACATTTCTCATTGCAGTAAAAAAAATGATATAGATAAGGCTTAAAAATATCAAAGAATTGGTTCTCAGGCAATGGCTTTTTAAAATATGGTACGGGTGGGCGGTGTCTTTTTTGGTTGGGATTGTTCAAACTAGTATGTAACCAAGTCAACAGTTGTTTACAATCAACCTGGGAAATGGCCTCCTTACATAAATGTATTCCTTGATGTGTAAAATACAAAAATACAGTATTTGACTACCGTTTGACTTTGAATATTAATAAAAAAATTCAAATGGAAAAACGAAAATTGCTGCTAACTTTATAATGATGCGGGCGGTGCCTGAGAACCAAGACTGCATTTTTTTAGCATATACATTAAATAATAATGCTTATTTCAGGAAGTTGTTAAAATTGATTCTAATCATTTGTTAATTGTTAACTTCATCATGTTCATCATGATCATGTCTCAGGTTCTAAAATATTTTTTTAGTAATATTTACAAAATAAGCAAATCTGTATCCTGTGTTTTATTGATGTTAGTCAATGTAATTGTATCCTTATCCTCATTGATGGTAAATATGTCAGTGATGAAAGAATATGCATTTTGATCAAACTTGACGTGATGAGCAAGATATCACAGACAAATAGAATGTTGTTCCGTGTGTGTCCTTGAAGAATGATTGATTGAATAACACCCCTGCTTTGCTTGTACAGTTAAAGAGCACATGTGATAACAAGCACAGCAGTGTTATCATTTCTATAGACATGATAGAAAGAGATATATAATATACATTGTGTGATCTGTGTTGTGGTACTAACACATCTAATGTCTTTACTCCAGTGTGATCCTAAAGTAGTATTAACATCATGAAACTTACTGCTTTAAGCTGATCTATTTAGCACAACTGTTGCCAGTATGCATGCTTGAGGATGAGGTGGTTACCATGGTTACAGTGCGTTAGCTGATAATTAGTGGGTCATTGTACCCCAGCAATATCGATCACTGTTCATGCTATCAGCCCCTGGTTTACCTGTCCCAGACTCAGTCATTAACAGACTGCCATGATATGGCTGGAATATTGCTGTCGGCTTCCTAAAACTCACTCACACATATTCACTCACTCACACATTGTCACAGTTTTATTTTTGTGCTTCTTCACACTATATACGCCGTGACCTTTTATACGCAGGTTATCACATAATCACCTGGTTCATTTCCTACAAAAAGTTGTTGTGCTATGACTAGAGCATCTTCCCGAGGCAAGCCTGTCCTCTAGCCTATATCAAAGCCTAGTTTTTCACCCTTGCCATAGTGTGAAGCCCATTTCTGGTGTCCCCCCGCCGTGTTATTGCTGGAATATACTCACTCACTCACTCACTCACCCTTGCCATATCAAGGCCATTTTCCTCGGCTCGACCCTGGCACTACCTCGTGGAGATCACGAGTTGTGCACCTTGTAATGAAAACGCGATATCCAGTCTGATCGCTGTTCTAATCTCGTATAGCTTCACAAAGATGGAGACTACCAAAGGCGACGACCAAGTCGATCAGATAACCCAAACAATCGCGAGTTCATCCCTGACACAAAAACATAGGCAATCGCTGGGGGGTTTAAAAGATGAAATAAACATATTCATGTCAACAAAGACAGGAAGCGGTAAATACGAATATGTACCAGTCATGGATGTTGATATGTGAAACGTTCTCTGATTGGACTATCGATATGTCCGATAGTCCAATCCTATTTAGCACAGGAACGTAGGCTTGATGTGGCAAGGGTGGAAACAAGACTGATAATAAGGGTAGTGCACTCTCTTGCCTTGGGAGGATGTGACTTGGGGGGGACTATGTTGAATAGTGTCAGGTAGAGGAGATATTCACTGCAGTTGCCCTGGTGTTTAAAGCTATAAAGTAGTTTGGTCCTGTCATGTGTTATATCACAAGTAGGATATATATCTCCCATGGCGCCATGTTAGTGGTATACTGCTGAACAAGCTGAAGCCTTATCTTCAAGTTGATAGTAGGGGAAATTATGGATGCTTTTGGTTTCGCTGTGTATGAGTTAGGCCACAATAAATTTGTGATTAGATTTTCATCAATATAGTTTTAGAAAAAGACACAAAAATGGGCATTATTTCACCTGAAGGTGGTGTCATCTTGAGCATGCTTCAGATGCTAAGGCAGCTTGTTTTGAATAACAAATCAATTGTACTTTTTGGTTAGCATGGTAACGGGGGTTAATGGGAATGAAAATCTGATACTTTACTTATTGTGGCCTTAACCATTTATATCCTTACTTCCATTTGTCATTTGTGACGTTTGTTAAAAGAAACCAAATCTTTCATTAGATAACTGTAAAATATTACACCTATATTTAAGTAAATGAGGGTAAAAATGTTATGATGTAAAGATGATCAGTAGCAGTAAGTGTTAGGGGTATCAGCAGATCAAAATGCAGCTCCCTGTGCAATATATTGATATCAAACTATTACCATATGAACTATGTTCATGAATGTGATTATATTTTTAATAGTTTTATTAATATTAATGTGTTCATTATCAGATTTGAGTATAGGGTAGCCATGGTAGCTGTAATGCTTGATTTTAGATACCAGTGAGTTTCTATGATGCTTCTCTTGTGTTCTGAAATTCTGGAATACTGGCAGACCTGCAGTAGTTTTGATATCAGTAAAGGAATAAACATAATAACCATCACAAGTAGCTAGTTCTCGACTGGTACCCTGACCAACATCCAGCTGAGGTCATCAGTGAGGCCTATTCCACAACAAAATGATTGTATGCTAGATTGTTGTAAATCAATTGATGTATTGGTTGGTTGGTTTTGGTTTGTTGTTTAACGCCACACTGGGCAATATTCCAGCTATATGACAGCGGTCTGTAAATAATCAAGTCTGTACCAGACAATCCAGTGATTAATATCATGAGCATCGATCCACGCAATTGGGACCGATGACATGTATAAACCAAGTCAGCGAGCCTGACCACCCGATCCCGTTAGTCGCCTTTTATGACAAGCATAGTCGCCTTTTTACAGCAAGCATGGGTTGCTGAAGACCTATTCCACCTCGGATCTTCATGGATTGTTGATGTATTGGCGTTCCATCTGTGATGGTTGTGTGATACAGGTGTCCATCCTCCATCATCTGGGGATACAGCCTCACCCATCTTCCTCGTCCCAATCTGAGTCAAGCCAACACCATCTAACCCAATGGTGTTTGGTTGGCTTGGCCTGAAATTTTCTGAAGTCTAAACAAGTCAGCCTTGCATCTGTCAAGTGTTCATGACTGACCTTAACCTTCAAATTTCAATAACCTATCCTGTCTTCTGCTCAGGCTGGGACAGTGGGTAGCCTGATGGTTAAAGTGCTTGCTTGACACACTGAAGGCGTGTGTTCTATTCCCCACTTGGGTACAATATGGTGTCCCCTGTCGTAATATTGCTAGAATATTGCTAAAAGCGGTGTAAAACCTTGCTCATTCCTTCATTCTGCTGAGGGGGGGACTGGTGGCCCAGTCGTCTAAGGCGCCGCGATTCGCTGTGAAGAGTTGCGTCCCTTGGGCACGCCAGAAACCTATGATTGTGGGTTCGAATCCCGGTTCGCCTGGATTATGTTTCTAGGTTTGTCACCACCATACCTGTGCTCGTGGGTTTCACCGAAGTGGTAAACGTCTGAGACCTGCATCACTTCGGGCTTTCCTCCCACATTAAGCTAACACGCCGTTATATAACTGGAATATTGTTAAAAGCGGCGTCAAACCCAACTCACTCACTCACTCATTCTGCTGAGGCTGGTCTCAAAGAAGACACTTTCTCATGGTGCTCAGTTCACCATAACCATGAATGATGAAGTGTTCATCAAATTAAGGTCTTGACGTGCTGATATATGAAAACCCTTTTTGAAATGTTTATGAAATTACCAGTTTGTTTTCCACGAACACTTCAAGAACTGCATCAATTACAATTTTAATGAAAGTGTTAATTTGAGATCAGCATGCTATTCTGACAGATTGAGGTAGCTTGGTAACCATGGTAACCTGACCACAAAACACACCAACCTGGTCCAGATTAACAATGGCCCCCACCCTCTGAGTTCAGCTACTTGTAGGTGAGGACGAGGCAGGGAAACAGCGTGATGGTTATTGATTTATTGCTTCATCAGGAAGACCAGTTTATTTTCTTATTTTATGTAAAAGGCAATATACAATTATATGTCATGGTTGATTTAAGATTGATGTGAATCTGAGACAAAAGTTTCAACAAAACTATATTTCAATTTTTGGGTTACTTTTGTGACACTCAGGATATGCCTGTACATTAATGAAGAAAATGAATTGGTCTGGGTATGATATTAAATCAGGTTTGTCCACTTTCCAGTTTCCAGCTACTCAATAACCACAAGTCATGAGAGATGATTAAGTATTATAAGCACACCTAAATTGAATGCATGTGTAACTTTCAGGGTGTTTCCACCCAACAGCAACATGAAATAATAAAGGTAATCATATCTCGTTTTTCCTTTCACACATTTTATCATGCATATTTACTGTTCCATTAATCATGATCATTCTGTTTTAATGAAGCGGACAGAGGCACTGTAGCTCACTCAACTACAACAGTTAATAACAGAGATGTTTTATTTTCAAGTACATGATTGCTAACATCACTAACTAACTGGTCAATCTGCTAGATTTTGTAGTGCTGTTTTGTGACATTGTCACTATGAAATCATTGTTTAATATCTTCGGATGAGGCTTTATTTGAGGAAAAATATGAGAAATACTTGGCATTATCTTCCAGCTGTCTTTTTTTTACCAATTTGGATATTAAATATTTTATGGTTTAAATGTACAGTAAAACAAATAATGATAATAATAGCACCTATGAGTAGTGATAAGTAGTTGTTTTGTTTTGTTAGCATGTTTTTTTGTCTGTTCGATCATTTATTTTTTGTTGTGTTGACATTAACAATGATTTATTCTAATTTTGGATACATGTTCTACAACTTATATTTGAGTGCTTTGGATTTGTACTTGAATTGACTTTTGTTGAGTATTTTGTCAAACTTTTGACTCAAAGTAACGCTGTGTAGACAGTTACAAGAGTTTATTTGAGTGTTGATTTTAGTTGTTTAACATTTCCTTTGCTTTACTATGTTAGAGCTAATTTGTATTTTTTCATCATCATATGATTAGATAACATTTGTTAGTTCAGTACTGTAGTATGGTAGAATGCTTGCTTTACACAGAGAGAGTGTAATCAACAGGATACAAAGACATCCGAATTTTCATATTAAATACACAGCGCTTTAAATTACTGGCAAAAACTAGAAAATATAATGCCTAGGACACATGTAGGAGGAAAATTCTGTTTTTTTAACCTAAGGAGAAAATACTGCTACTTTGCAAAAACATATTTAGCCCTGACAACTCCCAATCACTCATGGCCCCGTGAAGATCAGGGATAAAATAGGTGTTCAGCAATCTGTGCTTGCCTTAAAATGCGACTATGCTTGTCGTAAAAGGCGACTGACGGGATCGGGTGGTCAGGCTCGCTGACTTGGTTGGTGCATGTCATCGATCACAATTACGTGGATCGATGCTCATGATATCAATCACTGGATTGTCTGGTCCAGACTCAATTTTTTACAGAACTCCGTCATATAGCTGGAATATTGCTGAGTGCAGCGTTAAACAACCAAACAAACATCACTTATGAGATGTATGTGGACAGATTGCCACTGTGGTCTTGTAGATAAAGTGTCTGCCCAGTGAGGGGAAGGTTGGTGGTCATCATACAAAAGGACGTTAAAAGATGGTGCTTGTTGTTACCCTGTCTGGTGATAGGCATTAAGGGGCTAAAAAAAGGACTGGTCGGCTCGGAGTCAGTCTGCTGTGTCTGTGTTGGATATCCTTGTTAAGCTACGGAATTGTATTGAGCTAGCACCATAAAACCAGCATAGTCTGGGCTGGGAGAAGCAGCAACACACACATCCAGCTATATAAGTGCAATAATCTTGAACTCCATGTCATAGCCCACTTTACGTCACCTCACTCCATGCTCACTCCACATGTGATGAAGGGATAATGTTTTCATTGTTTCTTGTTTAGTGCCGCACTCAGCAATATTCCAGCAATATGACGGCGGTCTGTAAATAATTGAGTCTTGATCAGACAATCCAGTGATTGACATCATGAGCATTGATCATCGCAACTGGGATATGATGACATGCATCAACCAAGTCAGTGAGCCCGACCATCCGATCCAATCAGTCGCCTCTTAAGACAAGCAAAGTCACCTTTTACAGCAAGCATGGGTTACTGAAGACCTATTCTAACCCGCATCTTCACGGGTGTAGGGATATTAGTGCCTGGACATAAAGTAGGTTCCTCGGTCTCTCCGTCCATATGGAGGAGGCCACAGGATATAAAGGTACTATCAACACAACATACTCAATGCCTTTCAGAGTCGTACCTTTATACACCAATGATGTACTGCCCCTTGAACTCTATTTTGATACTGAACTGCTGAAGAAATGCAAATCTTATGTAATCTAATGTAACTCTCAAAATATTTGAATGTGTTAATCCAGTAAATAATAACACAAAGACATAAAATCTTGGGACAGGGGTATAAGTCACACTCGATTATCAAGTCATTGGATTAATTTCGGGATCCTCACTTGAAAGCCAAATTTGAGTACAGAAATGGGTATCTAGCACTCAGTCCCTCTAAAATCAGTTATGGGATGGACTCCAAAGACACCTCAACCATGTGAATCCATCCCCAAACCAGAACAGTTAAATACGTAACTGAGCATTATGTTTTATTACAGATACAGATTACAGATTTTTCTGCAGATAGATCACAAATAATAAAACATGAATTGGTGTTCCCGCTGGCTTTTGAAACTGCCAGTCCCAGTGGACCAGTTCCTCCCAATTTTTGTCAGTTCCAACAAATAAAAATCATATGAAATTTACCTAGTTTTAATGCTTTCAATTTCAATTTCAATCCAGTGTACTTTCATGGTTGACAGATTCAGTGGCGTCATTTCTGAAGTAACTTGTTTAAATCTACGGATTCACACAAAGATCAATCACTATTTTCTCTCTTTTTTTCTGAATATTTCACTTTCGTTCAAGACTAAGTCACTACCAATAGATATTTAACCATGTTAACCTCAACACAACGCGAAATATTATTTCCTTGCACTAAAAATAGATAACGGGGAAACCCTGATGTTAACAGACAAGCTGACTTCGTTCGAAAAGTATACATTTTTTACTTTCAAAAATGTTTTGTTTAACAACAAAGATTTACAGATACCTTATTTGCTGGTCCATGGGACCAATGTTACCAGTAAAAAACTGGTAATTACCGGTAAACATGGTAAATGGGAACACTGATGAATGAGACGCTAATTATTTTATTGATGACAGCTGTTACATTTCTTGATTGGCTGGTTTGGCCTTGAGCTGCATTCATGACAGACTGATCATGATGTTGATCTTTGCAAATTGTGAGGTGGGCTTTAAACTGCAAGGCCACAAACTTCATATGTGACACTGCTTTATTCATTAAAAGAGTTTGCAATCGATAACTGTTTTCAATGTCAGTATTGATGGATTAATCGATTATGCATTCAACTGCTAAACCACTTCATACTGACTTTACAAGGGCTGTTAATGCTGTGAACATGGGACACCTCAGTTCAGACCACGTATCTGGCTGATTGGCTGTGTGTCTTATGTTATGAACAAGTTCTCAAATAATTTGAAAGATATTTGCATTTCTTTTGCAGTTCAGTATACTACTTGATATACACTGGTCGGCTTCAGTCATCTTGATGTTTATGTGTTGATGTGGAAAGTCGATATGCCATGCAAATTATTAATTGTCATTTGAAATATGTTAATACTGAAACGGGCTATTGCTTTGAACATGTTGAATGGTTTTTTTCGTCTGCAAAATAGTTAAAGCTTATTGCTGAGAGGATAGGTCATATTTCTGGCTGATGTTTTAATCCTAGTTTGAAATCCAGCATCACTTTTTTGTTTCCATTCTTCATTGCTTAGGGGCGGACCCGCGTTTGATTCCTGTCTTGGGTACGATGTGTGAAGCCCATTTATGGTGTCCCCTGCCATGATATTGCTGGAATGTTGCTAAAAGCTGTGTAAAACCATACTCACTCACTCCTCATTGCTTCGCAAGGCTTTATAAGAATGTTTACACAATCCTTGTGCCTTCATATTCTCTCAAATATTTTGTTAACTTGACAATGATGATTTCTTTTCGTTATCATTTTTAACAAAACATGTAGATTTCTTCCTTTTAATTGAATTATTATTTTTTTAGTATTCCTTTCATCATAATGTAGTTGCTTTTTTCATAATTTGCATAAAATAAGCTCACAATGTATTCCCAGCTGGTAGTATTATGATGAGACGTGGATCAGAGAGAGATGACACCTCCCATTGATAAGGAGAACGTCACCTAAATTTGCATCATCATCTAGCATCCTGTGCAGTGTAATACCACTTTTTTATGATAACCATTTTGGACCCATACGCTGTCCAGTTTCATCATGTGGAAGTGATTTCACCATCTCAGTCTCTCCTAACATCAAACAGACTTTTTCTCGCAGTGTGATTTAATTGGATGGCTAATTTTAGCACATCTTTCAAATCAAACATGGCTGCAAAAGGGTCCAGGGTACTTATCATGAAAGTGTTTTTTACTGCGTGGGACCCAGGACCTGGTTAGAAAAGGTCCTTAGCACTCAATGCTTGTCATTCAGGCCCAGTGAGTTGGTTGCATCCTGACGTTGTTGCTCATGCTATCAACCACTGGTATTACGGGCCGAGATTTGACTTTTTACAGGCCGCCATGATATAGCTGGAATATTGCTGACTGGGACTCAAACAAGAAACATACACTTATACGTATGTTATGCAGTTGAAAGTTTATGTGATACCTTGTCAATAAGTTATGTACAGTTGTTCAGAACAGATTGAGCAGTCCCAGAACAAATGCTGCGGTCAAATTACCAAAATTCTGCGGTCAAATTACCAAATTTCTGCTGTAAAAACTGCGGTATAGAACATAACCATTTCCTGCTAAAAACCTAATACAAACGTTTTTTTTTGAAATCTCGAATCCAAATCCAAACTTAAATAATTCTGCAAACTGTCATTATAAACAGTTATCACTGGATAAAACATAAAATTATGCAAATAAATATGCATAGTGTCACTGATGTCTTTTAATGGCTAGATGTGAACGTAGTTTATGTAGTCATAATAACACCATCATTTGGAAGAGAGATTTATTTATTTCAAATTTAGTTTTATTGTAGGTTCATATTTTGTATGTTTGAATCATTTGTTAAATATTTGGGCATCTTTAAGGAGCAAAATTTGATAGAAAAGCTTAAAAATAATAAAAGTTAGTCATGTTTGTGTATTGGTTGATATTAAAAGGCAAATTCCGCAATTTTTCTGCAATTCTGAGAAAAGGTAAATTATCTGCAAATCTTTCTGCTATCACGGAATTGCAGAATTCGCCTAGGACTGATTGAGAAAGGTTTGAGTGGTATTTTGACAGTAGGTTTTCATGCTTTACTAATGCTCAGTACAAACATGTATTGACCAATCATTACTGTATAGACAGCATCTGCTGCCACATAGACTAGTACCCAGGGCAGTGGTTGGTGTGGTGGTTGAAAGTGCAGTATGACGTCCATGTTACAGAAGCTAGCAGAGCAGGCGGAGGTCCTCCAGCACCGGGAGAACAAGGTGGTGCAGCTCAGCAAGGAGAACAATGACCTGCTGGAGACCAACAGCATCCTCCGGAAGTGAGTCCACACACTTGTACTCCTTTAGGATGGAGCAAGGATAACAGTAGTCTCGTAACCTGGGCCTCCGTCCCGTCCCGTCCTGTCCCGTCCCGTCCTATCCCGTCCCTTCATACTTGAGATGAGTTTAAGGCCATGGATTGTGCTGTGCTGGAATAGCCAGTGGCACCCAGTTTGAAAACCATAGTCCCTCCCACCTAAAGTGTTGCAATTCTCTGTGCGGAGTTGCTTCCCCTAGGTATGCCATGATCTTATCATCTTGGGTTTGAATCTCAGATTTGGCTTGTTAATGGTCATTGGTTTGTCAGGTAAATAGGTAAATGTATAATGTCTCAGGGGTGGTCGGGTAGCCTAGCAGTTTAAGCATTCACTCGTCACGCCGAAGACCTGGGTTCGATTCCCTACATGGATACAGTGTGTGAAGAATATTTTTGGTGTACCCCGCTGTGATATTGGTGGAATATTGCTAAAAGCAGCGTAAAACTATACTCACTCACTCAGTCTAAGGTCTCATGACTGCATGACTTTCGTTTTTCCCATATTAACATTATTTAGCTGACATGCCATGATATGACTGAAATATTGTTATATCGTGCTTTCACTAACTCAATTCAGTTCAGATTCTGATTGAAATTGTATATTCCCTTCATTAATTCACCATAGCTTAAAGTGACAGGTCAACATCAGTTCAGCCATTTTGGCCATTTCATAAAAGTGTGGGGGGGCACGGGTTGCCCAGTCGTCTAAGTCGCCGTGATTCGCTGTGCAGAGTTGCGTCCCTTGGACACGCCAGAAACCTATGATTGTTGGTTCGAATCCCAGTTTGCCCCAATTATGTTTCTAGTTTTGTCAGCACCATACCCGTGCTCGTGGGTTTCACTGAAGTGGTAAACGTCTGAGACCTGCATCACTTCGGGCTTTCCTCCCACATTAAGCAGACACGCCGTGATATAACTGGAATAATGTTAAAAGGGGCGTTAAACCCAACTCACTCACGCACTCATAAAAGTGTGAATTTGAAGTCTTGCTGGCCTACCGCAGGGGAGGTGCTTGTGGGTATGACAGAAGAGGTCACGTGATCCTGTAGCTACACATTTGAGCAGGATAGTAGGCAGTTGTAAGAAGGGTAACTATGGTACAGAATTCATGGTTTGGTAGTTTGATATATGGAATCAAATGTTGCTGAATAGGACCATGCAATTCATCATGATGTACGGTTTCCTCTTTTAAATCTAATATCATCATGTGCTTGATGGCAGCCAGCTGCAACAGGTCGAGGAACTGCGGGAGACTGAGATGACCGATCTCAACATCCTCACAGAGGAGTTCACAAAGAGGCTGTCGGAGGCTGAGAAGAAGCTGCAGTCTTCTATCAAGGTACGTAGTTTAAAGCTGAGGGCAGGGGTGATGCACAAAGGCACATATACGTACCACGATAGTTAAGTCTCAGGAACATACGTACCTTGATACGGAAGGAATGCCATGTGTATATTCATTATTGATCAATCGTATTTGCTGCTGCATGCATACCTCATGTACATAGCAGCAAACAAGATATTTTTGACATAGCTGCAATGCTCTTCATACAGCCACAGGTAACCTAAATACGTTTCACATTGTTCTGTATCAACATGTCTGACTATGATGCATTCACCATATCGGAATGCATGAAGTGTGGGTGAATTGTCCAGACACAAAGTAGTGTAGTCGGGACATGCTTGACCTGTAAGTACCAAGACATTAGCTTTGTGTGAATGTCAATGGACCTTTGGTTATTGAGGCAGCAGTGGGCAGTGATGGACTGTGGAATCAAGTTTTTGTTGTTTAACACTGCACTCGGCAATCTTCCAGCTATATGACGTTGGTCTGTAAATAATCGAGTCTGGACCAGACATTCCAGTGTTTGACTTCCTGAGCATCAATTCATGCATTTGGGATACAATGATATGCATCAACCATGTCAGCAAGCCTGACCACGTGAACCTGTTAGTCGCCTCTTATGAAGGATAGTTGCCTTTTACAGCAAGCATGGGTTGTTGAAGACCTATTCTAGCCCGGATCTTCTTGGGTCTCCAGTACAGAAGTAATACTTCCATGTGTATATAAATATTTGGGTAATCCGTTTGGCAGACAAATATTCTTATAACTTTTTACAAGAAGAGTATATGTACAATGGTTTATACTTTCATTCTTTTATGTAATTTGCTAACATTTTGTTTTTCAGGAAAAGGAAGCTTTAAAACGACAGCTTCAAACAGCACAAGATGAGTTGAAGAAAAGGTAGTTATATCCATGTATTTTATGACTGCTTCCTGTTATGCAGATCACCATTGCTTCATTAACTATGTTACTTTAGAGGAACACCCCATCAAAGCCTGTTCAGCTGCCATTAATATTTGACAATATTTTGATTGTAAACTATGTAACTTGAAGACTACTTCATAGATTTTTTTCTAACTTGGTGAACAATTTCTATACCAATAGGAGAGGTGCAGTGCGAAAGTCTGGAAAAAAATATAGCTATTTTTCATTGTTTTACTTAAGATTTTTTTAACTTTAACATTTGTGCGACCTATTACTTGAAAACTACTGCATTGATTCTTTCAAATTTTGGGAACAGTTTCCATACTAACTATAGAAGAGGTGCAGTGCAAAGTTTGACTTTGATAGCTGTATTTTCTGAAAATATATGTATTTTTTTCATGTTTTGAACTTAGAAATTATTTTTTACTTCAACATTTGTGCAACTTATAACTTGAAAACTACTTCATTGATTTCTGTGAAAATATTGCTTTTTTTAATGTTTTTGACTTAGAAATATTTTTTAACCCCGACCTACGATGATGCACAGGTGTATCTTTGAATCTTTGAATCATGCCATGACTTTTTAAGAGAAACCAGCTCAAACTTTACGGCATCAAAGTTTCTCCAGTATCAAGATTGTTCTTCAGCTGATTTTAGTATGGGGGTATTAGTGAGCCCTGCTCACTTTTTGTCTTGCTTACATTAAATTTATATTTGCTATGGATCCATGCATGTAAGCATGCTGAAGGTGTGTTGTTGTTGCAGTGCCAGTGATGTGAGCCAGGAGAGTCTGTTGGAGGAGAAGGATGAGCAGATAGCCGAGTTGCTGCAGGAAGGTGGGTTATACTCACGGGTTTCCGGGGCAGTGTAGGTCCCCAATACACCATGCTTGTCTCCCTGTGGGGCGTCCAGTGCAGAACAGGTCCCCAGTATCTGGTGCTTGTCTCCCTGTGGGGAGTCCAGTGCAGAACAGGTCCCCAGTGTCTGGTGCTTGTCTCCCTGTGGGGAGTCCAGTGCAGAACAGGTCCCCAGTGTCTGGTGCTTGTCTCCATGTGGGGAGTCCAGTGCAGAACAGGTCCCCAGTGTCTGGTGCTTGTCTCCATGTGGGGAGTCCAGTGCAGAACAGGTCCCCAGTGTCTGGTGCTTGTCTCCCTGTGGGGAGTCCAGTGCAGAACAGGTCCCCAGTGTCTGATGCTTTCAGTGCAGAATAAGTCCCCAATACACCATGCTTGTCTCCTGGTGAGATTCAAATGCAGAATAGGTCACCAATGCACCATGCTTGTCTCCCTGGGGGGATGTCAGGGCAGAATAGGTCACCAATGCACCATGCTTGTCTCTCTGTGGGGATGTCAGGGCAGAATAGGTCACCAATGCACCATGCTTGTCTCTCTGTGGTGAATCCAGGGCAGAACAGGTCCCCAGTATCTGATGTTTGTCTCCCTGTGGGAATGCCATTGCAGAATAGGTCTAGATTGAGGATTTGGTGGTCACAGGGTGTGACATTCCCACTGAATACAGATATCATGGATACATTCATGGTGTGTAAGTTGTGCCAACAATTGTTTTTGAAGATTTGTTAAGCTTTTATTGAATAATATTCATTTTATTTATTTCAGGGGAGAAATTGTCTAAACAACAGCTTCAAAGTAACAATATTATAAAGAAGTTGAGAAGCAAGGAGAAAGAAAATGAATCAGTGTTATCATCACAAAAGTAAGTAGATTATGTTGCAATGAGACATACTGTACATATCATTTTGCAGTTAACCATTTGGAATCCCAGGTTTTTCCAGACCCTTGCTCCAACATCGCCATACCACTGCTTGTGAAATTCAGCAAAGTGGTGAATGTCTATGTGGTCTTACAGTTACATAATCTCTGCTGATGACATTCTCACTATAATATGTGCTGATGACACTCATTAGAATCTCTGCTGATGACATTCACACTACAATCTCTGCTGATGACACTCACTACAATCTATGTCCACACAGGAAGAAGCTGGAGGAGCAGAAGACGGAGCTTGAGCATCTGCGTAAGGTGTGTGATGCCAAGGACGACCTGGAGAAGAAGCAGATAGGTATGTGGTATCGCGTCCAACACCCAGCGCCCTATCAGTGATAGTCCTAGGCAATCTCATTAGATCTCTTACTCTGATACCATACCTCTCCGTGTGAAGATCTCATGACACCTCCATAGAAGGTTGCTTCGGGTGTACTCTTAGTGAACTTCGACCACCCATTCTATGAAACCTGAGTGAACCTGGACAACCCATTCTATGACCCCCGAGTGAACCTGGACCACCCATTCTATGAACCCTGAGTGTACTTGGACCACCTATTCTATGACCCCTGAGTGAACCTGGACCACCCATTCTATGAACCCTGAGTGAACCTGGACCACCTATTCTATGACCCCTGAGTGAACCTGGACCACCCATTCTATGAACCCTGAGTGAACTTGGACCACCCATTCTATGACCCCCGAGTGAACCTGGACCACCCATTCTATGACCCCCGAGTGAACCTGGACCACCCATTCTATGAACCCTGAGTGTACTTGGACCACCTATTCTATGACCCCTGAGTGAACTTGGACCACTTACTAAAGTATGTATGGGTTCTTGAAGCCAATCAGATGTCAGCTTTCTGAAACTGTCCAGCTTCATTTCTTTGCCACCATGATTTGTACATCTTGATTTCAACAAGAGAAAACCCACATGCAAAACAAATGTTCCTTCGATAGAACTCCTGTTTTGGTGTCAATGTCCTGGTGCTCAGATGGTCAAAGTTAATAAAATATCCACAAAAATATAATGGCATTGCCTCCATTAGTGTACAGTCCATATACCCTGTGCACTCAAAAGAACCCACGCATCCGATGGTAGATGACCAGATGGTGGAAACACGAATACGTACATACACCGAAACACAAGTGTCAAAACGTGTGGTGTCACTCTGGGCAAGTGACTTAGTTCAAATGTGCCTCTGTTCACCCAGCAGGAAATGGGTACCCGATATGTGAGCAGGATGTAAAAACCTTCTTGCCTGGCTAGGCAGCTTGGGCTGTATACTCCCCAGGGAGTTGAGAATGATAAAACTGGAATGCAAACGGATTCACTGGGCGGGGAGCAAATAAAAGCGCATAGAGCAGATACTAGTACCTGGATACCTGCGGTATATAAATGTATAATATAATATTTATAATGATTGTTTTTATTCGGGCATTCTGGTCATTCTAACATTATGTTTGAGATAGCAGATGTGCTGGTCTGAGTGTTTCCCTCCATCACCAAAAATTTAGAAGCATTGATTGGCCTCATTAAAAGTACACCTGCCTCTACTTTCTATGGGGGTGGCATCTGATCTTCAAACTGAGAGCAATGGTATCGGAGGAACAGATTGTAGATGAGGACAACTGTCAATACATTATCACAATACCAAGGTGTAGTGTCTGTATATAATGCCAAGTTGTCTGTCTTACTTAAGGCACAGGACCCGTGAAGATCCGGGGTAGAATAGGTCTTCAGCAACCCATGCTTGCTGTAAAAGGCGACAATGCTTATTGTAAGAGGCGACAAATGGGATCAGGTGGTCAGACTCGCTGATGGTTGATGCATGTCATCAATCCCAATTGCGTGGATCGATGCTCATGGTGTCAATCACTGGATTGTCTGGTCCAGACTCGATTATTTACAGACCCCCGTCATATAGCTTGAATATTGCTGAGTGCGGCAAACCAACAAACCAACCAACCAAACTTAAAGCACAGCTTCATATCCCACTCTACTTGAAATGTACATGCAGCACACAGTCCATGAAATCTAATGTCGTCAGTACAGTTATTAGGATATTCATTTACTCCACATTTTCAAATGGCAACCTCTTGTTGGACAAGAGCCATGTACGGTCACATACAGTAATGACTTACATGATATCTCTTAGGGACAAGCTGTAAGACCAATTCTACTAAGTCAGTTCGAAATAGTTTAACTGTAAACTTGCATATGAGGTCAGGATAGAGCAAGGGAGCAAGAAAATGTATTGGCATTGTTCAGCAATAATCTGAGGAATCTACAGTAATTTAAGTTGGTTTGTTTGTTGTTTAACGCTGCACTCAGCAATATTCCAGCTATATGACAGCGGTCTGTAAATAATCGAGTCTGTACCAGACAATCCAGTGATTAATATCATGAGCATTGATCCACTCAATTGGGATCGATGACATGTATCAACCAAGTCAGCGAGCCTGACCACCCGATCCCGTTAGTTGTCTTGTACGACAAGCATAGTCGCCTTTTACAGCAAGTATGGGTTGCTGAAGACCTATTCTACCCCGGAATCTCCACGGGTCCAGTAATTTAAGAAAAACGTAAACTAAATAGAATATGTTTTGTTCCCCTTTGTTTCAGAGGCCATCAATCAGCTGAACAATGCTGTACAGAAGCAAGAGAAGGAGCTGCTGAGGTTCAGGGTGAGGAGAACTTACAGACCACCCCCCCCAATCTGGATGTGCAGTGGTTGATGAACCATGAATAAAGTTCTCCAAAAACATATCAGTATCATGTCTAAAGGCTTTGTGTTGTCACAGCTTTCAAAATTTGTATGACACCAATAAGGATTGAAAGAGTTGAAAGATGTTTGTATGTTTCGACATTTTAACAATTCAGTGAGTCGGTGAGTGTGTGTGGTTTTACGCCGCTTTTAGCAATATCCCAGCAATATCGCTGCGGGGGACACCAGAAATGGGCTTCACACATTGTACCCATGTCGGGAATCGAACCCGGGTCTTCGGCGTGACGAGCGAACGCTTTAACCACTAGGCTACCCGACCGCCCTTTTAACAATTCAGTTATGCTTTGCTCATTTTATCATACATTGTTTTTAATATGCACAAATAACAGTGGCATCACTAGGTTGGCTTTGTTTGGATCAACTTTTGGATTATCTGCCCCTTGTGAATGAATGTCTCACAACAGTAGTGGTGTCATCATGTATTCAGTCAGCTCATCGTCACTGATTCACTGAGAAAGATGATAACCAGGGCTCTCTCAAAATTAGAAATAGGGGGCTCTTATTAGAATATTATTTTGGTGAAAAAAACAGAGTTAAAGGATAAATTTTGTGGTTTATGCTGACAGCCTGAAATGTTTATATACGACAGATAATTTTTTTCAGAATTTAATTACCCATAATTAAGGGTGCATATAACACACGAGTGAGTATTATACGCGAATAAATAAGTCTTTTGTACATTGATCAATCGGAAGGGGTGCTAATTGGGATTGTTCACTAGCCAATATATTAGCAAATATCGCTGTGGGCGCTTATTACGTTGAATACGGTACTGGTTCGTCTGTGTAGTTATATGCAAGTACTTGTCTCCACAGAGTGACCAGGAGGACGTACAGGAAAAGGAGAGAAGTCTACAGACGGCGCTGGAGAATGCTTACAAGTAAGTGTTGCTGAGCCCTGCAATCAAACAAGTCTTCGAGTCTGACCTATTCATTCAGTCACCTGTTGACAAGCATAGGATTCTGGGGACCAATTCTAACCTGGAATCCCTTCAGGATCCTGTCACTAACTCCAGTTTATGACCATGATGACACTGTGTAACACAGCTGTAGGATCAGATTCTGCTTCTCAGAAGATCCAGTCACTGGTACACATCCATAACGCTTCTGGGTCAATAGAGGTCCCCCGTACCCTATGCTCATTGTCAGAGCCGACTGAACTGAGGATTGAGTTGTCAGAATGTGTGTCTTCACTGAGAGATTTGTCCAACCTTCATCAAAGGGAAATAACCACATAAAGCAGTGGCAATACTGAAACTTTTAGTGGGGTGTAAACCGGACGAATACTGTAAATCTTGATATAAACGTGAGCGTGAATTAAATGCGAAAAATGCGAGTGGTCTTTGCTCGCATTATTAAACATTGCATTAATATCAATAATAAGACATTTTGGATAGCAGAAATACCAACTAAGACATACGCTGAAAACAAACAACTATATATTCCACATCACTGTTTATTGAGCAGCACTTGTTACAAGTATATAAACAATGTCATTCAAACACTAATTACATCCTGTGAATTGTCACTGCTGGGGTCAGACAAGCGTTCTACTGACTTATGTCATCACTGATCACACCTGCAAGTCCAGGCAGACGCCACCCAACACGGTGTCTTTGCTCTTTGCGACTGCATCAAAGGCCGACACGTATTGTTTTAGCTGAAGTACTCTACTCAGCGCTAATAAGCAGTGCTATTTGGTGTGTGATTGGATTAATGTAAGGTTGGATTAAGGTGAGGATTCTCCTGTTAACCTGAAAGAGGACATTTTGTTTAGATATGAATCCACTGATGCTTGAGAGGGGGGTCGCATTTTTGGCTAGGGGCGCATTAATTTCAAGTTTCAAGTATCTCTGCATGGAATGAAATAGACACATTATATCGGGGGTGAATTGTCCTTGTACTAATAACGCCGACCACTCTTCTTGTATGGACAAATATGCGCTGCATAGGTTGTCCACAAATTCATAAGAACTTCACTCGATAAGTCTGTTTCAGAATTTGCACCTCTCTTCATCTCTTCTGAATAATGTTATGGGCTGATCTGCCCATTTGACACCACGTATAGTGTCACATGGGTTTACATCCAGTTAAAAATACAGTTACGTTCATTTTGTAAATCCTCTGCAGCATTAGACACGAGGTCGAGGGATTCTGCAAAGCCCTCCTGGGTTGTTGTCTCTGTTTGTCTCTGCTGCTGTCAAGTGTAAGGCGGGAATGTCAAATTGCACAGTTCAGCAATGTCTGATGTCTGGTTGAGCATCGAATTACTGTTCTGGACTGATGACTCATTCCATTGAGTGAGTTGTACAACCTGCAGGAATTGCGCTAAGCTGAGAACTATTACACTAGGTGGCGTTCCTCGTACAAAGCCAGCCGAGGTTATTTACCCGAACTATGCGTGCAGACTCCAACAAGATGAATGCATTATTATATGGTTAACATCTGTCCCTCCCACAGAGAGATTGCTGACCTCCACAAGATGAATGCATTATTATATGGTAAACATCTGTCCCTCCCACAGAGAGATTTCTTACCTCCACAAGATGAATGCAATATTATATGGTAAACATCTGTCCCTCCCATAGATAGATTGCTGACCTCCACAAGATGAATGCATTATTATATGGTAAACATCTGTCCCTCCCACAGAGAGATTTCTTACCTCCACAAGATGAATGCATTATTATATGGTAAACATCTGTCCCTCCCACAGAGAGATTTCTTACCTCCACAAGATGAATGCATTATTATATGGTAAACATCTGTCCCTCCCACAGAGAGATTTCTTACCTCCACAAGATGAATGCATTATTATATGGTTAACATCTGTCCCTCCCATAGAGAGATTTCTGACCTCCACAAGATGAATGCATTATTGTATGGTTTACATCTGTCCCTCCCATAGATAGATTTCTTACCTCCACAAGATGAATGCATTATTATATGGTAAACATCTGTCCCTCCCACAGAGAGATTTCTTACCTCCACAAGATGAATGCATTATTATATGGTAAACATCTGTCCCTCCCATAAATAGATTTCTTACCTCCACAAGATGAATGCATTATTGTATGGTTAACATCTGTCCCTCCCACAGAGAGATTGCTGACCTCCACAAGATGAATGCATTATTATGTGGTTAACATCTGTCCCTCCCACATAGAGATTGCTGACCTCCACAAGATGAATGCATTATTTTATGATTAACATCTGTCCCTCCCACAGAGAGATTGCTGACCTCCACAAGATGAATGCGGCCCAGGACAGCAAGGCCCAGGAGGCTGCCCTCAGTGCGGAGGTGTCGGTGCGGGAGGCTCTCAAGATGGACATGGAGCATGAGAAGATGAGGCACAAGCAGGAGCGAGAGGGACTGATTATGCAGATTGAGGACCTCCGGCTCACCATGACAAGGATGGAGAAGGACCACAACCGGAGGGAGGACATGCTCAGACAGGAGATCTCTGATCTGCAGATGGTGAGTCATAGGTGTAGGGGAGATCTCCAATCTGCAGATGTGAGTCCTGGGTGCAGGGGAGATCTCTGATCTGCAGATGTGAGTCATGGGTGGTTAGGAAATCTCAGATCTGCAGATATGAGTCCTGGGTGGTTAGGAGATCTTCAATCTGCAGATGTGAGTCATGGGTAGTTAGGAGATCTCTGATCTGCAGATATGAGTCCTGGGTGGTTACGAGATCTTCAATCTGCAAATATGAGTCATGGGTGTAGGGGGAGATCTCCAATCTGCAGAATATGAGTCCTGGGTGGTTAGGAGATCTTCAATCTGCAAATGTGAGTCATGGGTGTAGGGGGAGATCTCCAATCTGCAGAATATGAGTCATGGGTGGTTAGGAAATCTCAGATCTGCAGATATGAGTCCTGGGTGGCTAGGAGATCTTCAATCTGCAGATGTGAGTCATGGGTGGTTAGGAAATCTCTGATCTGCAGATGTGAGTCATGGGTGGTTAGGAGATCTCTGATCTGCAGATATGAGTCCTGGGTGGTTACGAGATCTTCAATCTGCAAATATGAGTCATGGGTGTAGGGGGAGATGTCCAATCTGCAGAATATGAGTCCTGGGTGGTTAGGAGATATCTGATCTGCAGGTGTGAGTCATGGGTGGTTAGGAGATCTCTGATTTGCAGATGTGATTCATGGGTGGTTAGGAGATCTCTGATCTGCAGATATGAGTCATGGGTAGTTAGGAGATCTCCAATCTGCAGATGTGAGTCATGGGTATAGGGGGAGATCTCCAATCTGCAGATGTGAGTCATGGGTGTAGGGGGGGGGGAGATCTCAATCTGCAGATGTGAGTCATGGGTATAGGGAGAGATCCCCAATCTCCAGATGGGTGTAGGGGAGATCTACCTACAGTATGCGAGTTGGGAGGTAGGGAAGGTTGTACCTACAGTTTATGTCTTCTTCTGTCCCCAGCAACTGCAGGAGGACGAGGCAAGGACCCAGGAACTGTCCCACAGTGTATCATCAGGTAGGTTCTGTGAAGGCACTCTGCATACATCAATTCAATCATTCATTAGTTGCACCTGTGTCCAGTGGAAGCTTTAAGCAGGCAACAATCACACTTCCTTCTCCTGACTATGCGACCGCCTCCGTGGTCTAGTGGTAGAGCGTCAGCCCGGAGAGCGGAAGGTCCGGGGTTCGATCCCCGGCCGCGTCATACCAAAAGACGTTAAAAGATGGTACTTGTTGTTACCCTGTCTGGCGCTCGGCATTAAGGGGCTAAAACAAGGACTGGTCAGCTCGGAGTCAGTATACTGTGTCTGAGTGGGGTATTCATGTTAAACTGCAGCATGGTATCTCAGTGTGCTAGCACTATCGGCATCAATTCGGACTAGTACAAGCAGCCACACACACACGTGCATGCACGTTGCTATATAAGTGCAATAATCTTGAAAGCGACGTTAAACCCAATTTCACCTCACCCACCTGAGTATCTGACATAGTTACTGTGAGGTTCTGGGGTGGAATGGGCCTTAGATACCTAATGTTGTCATATGAGGCTACTCAATGTATCCGGTGGTCAAATTCAGTGAATGGCTGATAGCTTTGTACTTTGACGGCATGGATCATGATTGATAATATCAATAACTGGTTTTGATGGTTTAGACCCAATTGTTTACAGGCAGTCATTTGTCTTTCAATTTTGCTGATTTCTGTATTAAACAACTAACAAATCCAACCTGCTTTTGAATGTTGTAAAGACTGTACAAGGCTATTGTCATGTGTCCTGGACTGTATTTAGTTGAAATACTTTGTCTGAGTGGAGTATCCATGTTAAGCTGCCTCAGGTTTGTCAGGCTAGTTCTATAAAAGTGGCATCACTCTGGACTAGTACAAGCAGACATGCACACACACAAACGCTCACACATGTTACTTCATTAGTGCAATTATCTTGAATGCAGCGTTAGACCCCATGTCACGTCACCATTTTTGGTTGGTTTTCTCTGTACAGTATCTGGGGGCACGGGTGGCCAAGTTGTCTAAGGTGCCGCGATTCGCTGTGCAGAGTTGTGTCCCTTGGGCACGCCAGAAACCTATGATTGTGGGTTTGAATCCCAGTTCGCCCCCATTATGTTTGTCAGCACCATACCCATGCTCGTGGGTTTCACCGAAATGGTAAACGTCTTAGACCTGCATCACTTCGGGCTTTCCTCCAACATTAGGCTGACACGCTTTGATATAACTGGAATACTGTTAAAAGCGGCGTTAAACCCAACTCACTCACTCACTCACTCACTCTGTACAGTATCTGCAGTGAGATAACCAATGCATGTATTATATTGGAGAAAAATAACCCTTTTGCGTTTAGATATCTGTGTTTTTATTGTAAAAAGAAACTGGAGCTGACACAATGTCCGTCTCTGTTCCCCAGCTACCCGGCCGCTGCTGAGGCAGATAGAGAACCTCCAGGCCAACTACACCGCACAGTCCACGTCCTGGGAGAAGGTGGAACGCAACATCACAGAGAGGCTGGGTGAGTCGGGGCAGGTCTCACTGGTGGTCAGACACAACACGTGACCTACCTGGGAATGGAACTTTAGGCTATTCTTTGTCCTCTGCTCTTATATACTTATAAATAATTTGAAAAACCTCAGAAAGTTATTAAATATTTGAATTACCATTATCCCCCAAGTCCAATCTGGTTTGATGATTTGTCCACAACATTAATATGATGAGTTATTCCAGATACCTTGATATATGCACTTATCTGACCTCAATATTTGTTTTGTATGTTTCTTAAATTATTATCAAACATGTCAGATTGGTCCTGTAATCCAGGGGCGGTCAGGTTAGTGGTTAAAGCGTTCTCTCTTCACGCCGAAGACCCGGGTTCGATTCCCGACATGGGTACAATGTGTGAAGCCTATTTCTGTTGTCCCCCGCCGTGATATTGCTGGAATATTGCTAAAAGTGGCGTAAAACCATACTCACTCACTCACTCCTGTAATCCATGTAAGCCTTATGAGAACTGTATGCTATCTGTCCTGACCATTTCTCACTGGAATCATGGTTGGCAGTAATTCACTTTGCGCAGCTGCATGCCTTAGCCATGCCAGGACCCAATGATTTTTGAGTGTGAATAGCCCAATGGTCTAAGGTGCCGCAGTTTGTTGTGCAGAGTTGTGTCCCTTGTGAACTTGGGCTCAAGTCATGGTTCTCTGAGATTATGTTTCTAAGTTTGTCAGCACCACAGCCATGTTTGTGGATTTCAACAGTGGTAAACGTCTAACAGAAGCTGCCATGACATAGCAGAAATACTGTTCAAAGTGGCATTAAACCCAACTTACTCACACACGAGTCTGAATCACAGATTCACCCTGATTATAGTAATAGCTGGTCAGCACCATTCCTGTGATAAACATCAACAATCAACATGACGTTGAGCTCTCCGCCCACTTTAAGCTGACATGCATTCATATAACTGCAACATTGTACTGAAACTTGGTCTGACCTCCTCCAGCGGATGCCCAGGGCCAGCTTGCTATGGCTGTAGAGAAGGAAAGGTCAGTGAGCGAGAAACTGATGGATCAGAACGTCCGTCTGACCACGCTGGAGTCCCAGACGGCACGGCTCCGGCAGGAGAAGTCCCAGCTCCTGGCACAGGCCGAGATGGACAAGGCTAAGATTGAACTGTTGGAGGAATCGAAACTCAAGTGAGTGGATGAAATATAACCTGCCTGTATTTGTATGGAATTGTGGGGGCAGTTGTGCTTAATATATACAATTTCACAGGTGTTTTGTATGAACCAATTCTGTCTTTGAGTATCCATTTCGAATTAATAATTGACTTTCAGACTTTTCATTCTTTTTACCAGGAACGTGCCTGACTTTCAGTGATCTTTTAGAATATACTTTGCCAGTCCATATGTTTATGTATCAGTGTTGGCTGAAGAGTGCATTTTGCGTCTTCAACGCACAAAAATAAGTTGAACGCACCTGCGTAACATGTGTGGGTCTCGTGGATGCAGTGACTGGGGCTATATTAATTTCATATCGAATTGACACTGTTATCGTACGTCTTTGCGTAAAGGTATTTGATGCCAAACAAGACAGCGAAGCATGTTGATTAACACTTCCGTTTGCTAAACCAAACCAGTTTCATTATTCTCTCCCTTTTTTTGACAAATACCCAAACCGGTTTCTTGACCTATATCAATTTTCGGTATGGTCCGTAGCTTTGCTTCAGCCAATCAGGTGCCACATATTAAGCAAGTCGGATATAGTCGTAATTAATTTAGCTTGCTGATTGGTCGAAAATATCCTGACCTTGTGTCAAACTAAAAATAGCCAGGCACATCAAGGGTATACTTCAGAACGTGGTAACAGTGACCCGCGAAATCGAGCGACCGTGTAGGATGATACGCTATGTTATCGCGGTAGTTAATTTATAATGGATCGTAGTGGGGCACGCTTACAAACTTATTAAATACGTGATTCACAAAATGTTTGTTGTTCATTGGATTGATTGATGCTGATTTTCTTTACCGAGTTCGGTAAACAAAGTACCTGTCATTGGTGAATCTTACCTCAGTAAGTAAGGCTGTGTGGATTATATGGTATATCACTTCCTGTTTTGAATTTTGCATACGACCGAGGTTTGATATTTTGCAGTTGCGAAAAGATTTCTTATTTTTCACAAACACTGTGTTCTGTTGTTAATGTTACGTTATAATGGTATAAATTGGACCCCTCCATTTTTGTTTGGGACCCCTAATTTTATGATGAAGGGGTCCAAGTGACCCCAAGAAAATTTAAGCCAGAGCAGACACTGATGTATGTATATACATGGAATTATATTTTGTTTTGCAATTATTTTTCTAATGTAGAACTGTGTTGTGTAGCAAAGAACAATTTCAATTCTGATTGTCAGTAATCCTACTTTTTAGTGATGATGATGATGATGATGATGATTGTTGATTGCAGTGAAATGGCTCAGGTTGATGCGGTCAAGAACAAGATGTCGAAGGAGATTACTGAACTCAAGAAAGACAAGGTAAGCTTTGCAGGAGAAGTAGAGACATGTAGTTCAGGAGTCAATAACCCAAAGTTAGGATTGCAGGTAAGAATACAGATCCCCAGCAGCCTATGCTTGTCGTCAAAGGCGACTAATTGGATCGGGTGGTCATCCTCACTGACTTGGTTGATTGCATGTCATTGTTTTGGAGCTGTGAGGATGTGTAGCTTGAGTTGCGTGAGTGACCGTGTTGATGTTGCTGCTGCAGGTGTTCCTGGAGACGCAGGTGGAGATGGAGAAGATGAAGGTAGAAACGGAGAAGAAGAGGGTTGCCATGATGGAGGACCAGATCAGGCTGCAGGTAGGAATGCACGGGCAGGGGGATTATTAGCTAGTTAAGGGTAGTTAAGAGTCTTGGGTCTAGCATTACGGGTCCAGCCATTCTATTTGGTGCAATCTTTGTCCAAGCTTTGAAATTTGAACCCTCATAAGTCTTCATTGCAGGCTTTTCTGCCTGATCAAAGATAAAAATTATTAATTGCTATTTAGGCAGCCATATTGTTTTCAGGTTGTAGGTGATCAGTGTTGTAGATATGTATGTGTGGTCAGTCAGCATCATGCAAGGTTTCAGTTAGTTGGTTATCGGAATGAGCATCTACTTTAGGATTTACCTTCCAGGGAATATTGGGGTACCCATACTCGTATTGTGGCAATTATGTGTAGTTGTGAGAAAAGAAATTCCGACAACTAGCCTTGAAATGATGGTTCCAGGAGCGAGAAGGTCCCAAGTCCCGGGGCACACCCTCCCCAGTGTCCGTGTCCAGACAGGAGAGTGTCAGCAGCTTCCAGGCACATCCCGAGTTCCTCCCTGTGCTGCCACAGGTAGGTCATGGAAGGTCAATTGCTTTCCCTCCAAACTGATATTGGCACGCGATCATCTCATCCATGTGTCATTTGATATTCAAAAACATGAACACTAGTCGATAAAAGTTTAAACTCCAAGGCTTGAGTTTTAAACTTTTATCAACAAGTGTTGATATATTTCATATCAAAACATACAACACTTAGATTCTGTGTACCATCCAAATGGTAAATATTCAGTGTCTTGATTGTAAAAAAGTACAGCTCGCCAGCTTCTGTGGCAGAGAGTTTTGGGTCATAAGAGAACTGTCTAGTCGCCTAGTCAAAACATGAACACTAGTCGATTAAAGTTTGAAACTCCAAAGCTTGAGTTTTAAACTTTTATCAACAAGTGTTGATATATTTCATATCAAAACATACAACAGTTAGATTCTGTGTACCATCCAATTGGTAAATAATCAGTGTCTTGATTGTAAAAAAGTACAGCTCGCCAGCTTCAGTGGCAGAGACTTTTGGGTTGTCTAGTCGTATCTGTTCCCTGTGTAACTCCCTGTGATGCTTGCTGCAGGAGGATCTGTTAGAGCGGACGCTGATGCTGTCATCACCCAACGGCAGTAAGATGAACCTGTATGAGAGCCTGAGACAGAGCGGGGCGGCCACCCTGTTGGAGAACCTGCAGTCACAGTTGAAGCAGCGAGAGGGAGAGATCATCCAGCTACAGGTGACCATCATGTCAATGAGGTTTTAAACAGTGTGTCACTTATATCTTTTATGTGGGAGGATAGCACAGGGGGTCGCAGGTTGTAAACCATTTTGAGGTACCCATGAGATATGTGTATGGTCTCCATGCTGGGCTCCACCCCTGACCTGCATATCCTGGCACAGTTAAGGGAGACTATTCTGCATAGAGAATTGTCATGCCTTTCACTGGTGTGTCCTCCTTGTTTAATCAAAGATTATCTAATTAAAAGTGATCTTTAAGGTGTCATACATCAGTTGGTACTTTTTCAATATTTGCCTAAAAAAGTCAGTGTTACTAAGGTTTGGATGAAAATAGGACATACAAATGTAATTGTATAGGTCCATTTAAGTGTATGATGATGGGGATAGATTTTAATGGTTTGTCTGTTCCCTTTCAAAATTCCCCTGTGGTGATTCTGGGTTAGAAGAGGTCCTCAGTGACCCATGTTGTCATACACGGCTGCTTTATGGACAGGTGGTCAGACTTAGTGACTTGATGGTGTCATCATACCCCAACAGCTTGGATATTTGTTTATAATTTCAGTCTCTGGTTGTCTGGTCCAGGCTTCATTATGTATCGGCCGCCCTTATGTGGCTGGAATATTGCTGTATGCGGCATTAAACAACATCCAAATAAACAAAATCTTAGTAAGGCTAAAAAAAGTAATAGTCTTGTATCTCAGGCACCACTCGCATCATCATAAAGTCTGCCCCACATTTTTGGGTTTTTTCACAATGCACAAAAAAAATTGAAAATGGAAACAAAAACAAAAGGTGCAATGAACTTTATGATGATGTGGGCAGTGCCTGAGAACCAAGACTATTATTTTTTTTACCCTAAATCTTGGCCTGGTGGTCAGGTATCTTACAGATAGTCATCTGCATCGTAATCTGAATTTTGTAGAAGAAGAAGAAGACGTATTTACTTGAAATATTGATGTTGCAGAGTGAGATTGGATCACTTGAACGAACCCGAGAGTCAATGGCAAAGGAACTTGTAAATCTGACCAATCAGAATGAAGACCTTGAGGAGCAGGTACAGGATTTGCCGCACGTGCAAGACCAGTACAAGGTATGTGCGCAGGAGTGGGACACACAAGTCACATATATACTAATAAGGGGGTGTGGGGGAGCCTAGTGGTTAAAGTGTTCGCCAAAGACCCGAGTTCAATTCCCCACATGGGTACAATATGTGAAGCCCATTTCTGGTGTTCCCAGTTGTGATGTTGCTGGAATATTGCTAAAAGCAGCGTAAAACAGTACTCACTCACTCATATACTAATAAATACATTGCAAGTGTTTCGGTGGCATTTGATTGAATAACCAAGCAATAGTTATTGTGGGAGTGTGAAAATCAAAATAGGCCACTCCCACTGACAGACTACTGTTTCCTGATTGGTCCACGCTCTCTGCCTGATGGCATTCATTCACTTGATGAAGGAGTAAGCATATATACTCCTAAACGTTGTGTTCCTCATAATAAAGAAGTTGACAAATTCTCTTCCTTATGTGTATCACTTCTAAATGCCTTTCAAAGACTTGATCCCTAGTATGAGTTATACAAGGTTGTCTGCAGGGGTCCGGAAACCGTCATATGCGCCGGACATGTCCGACTGGGAATCTCAAATGTCCGGTTTAAAATATTGCTTACCGGACATTTAAATTTTTCTGTCCGGACATTTTAAAAAGTATTGTCCGGACATTCTTAAATTTTGACCGGACGTGATCAACAGTTAGGACTGAGCAGTTTCTGTCTGCAGTTGTAACACAATGAAGATTATCTACACTGACAAGCTTTGTTTGTTTTGATTGCTGTAAATACATTGTACCTACATGATAGTCCAATCGGTCAATCACTGTCATAGGCAATAAACTGAGTTGACACTGATTAATCGAGGATTAATTACTGAGAACATCTTGTTAATTTGAGTAAAATGTGTTTACAACTGTACATAAATACCTTGCATCATCGATGTACCTCATTATCCTCACAATGCTACGATACGTAACCTCAGACAAGAAGCGAAAGCGTGACGACAGCCAGTCGACCTGCATCGGTCAAGCGGATCTGCCAAACCCTCAAAGTCTTAATGATCATTTTGTAAGTCGTGGCTAACGACTTTCACTTGGTTGACATACAATGAGGATTTGCAGATTTTATTGTTTTCAGTAGCTAGTCGTATATTGAATCTTGATTGACCGCCATTTTGCTTTCTGTGACGATCAATATCAAATTTTTTTATGGTCAATAATTAAGAACAGATGAAAAAAGTATTCAAATAACTATTGCTATCAACGATATTTTAGTATTTATGATTATATTATCTGTCCTGATTTTAAATAATCTTTAGTTTAAAAAAAAATAGGTCACGTGATAACCAAATATGGGATAATAGTCTCGATCCAAATGTTACAACGCATACACTTGAGCAGATTCATGAATATTAATTAGACCGTTCACTACGTTAACAGATCGTTATTATAACAGAAACAAATGTATGTTTTCCATATATATCTAAAATGATATTATTTGTTATTAATTGTCTGGTGAATTAAACAATTTAAATTGAAACCATCCATAATTCATCATATTATAAATATGTAACAACTTGTAATGTGTGTGTAAAAAGTCGTACTAAAATACGCTATTTGCAGGGGGCGTGGCCTAAATGCAAATGTCCGATTGGGATTTTAAATTTTCCGGACCCCTGGTTGACTGTATACAAGATGTTATACAAACAACTTGTTATGGCATCAGTTACCACATGCGTGTCTTTGCACATAATATGGAGACATGTCCAGTATGATACAGTGTGTGATGTTGCCAGGATCTGGACCAGCGGTACAACGCCCTGCTGCAGATGTACGGGGAGAAGGTGGAGCAGGCCGAGGAGCTCAAGCTGGACCTGCAGGATGTCAAGGACATGTACAAGGCTCAGGTAAGCTGACGGCACTGTGTTAACACCCCGAATCGGGTTCAGTGCACCTGCTTTCACATCAATTCACCCAGTAGAGATGTAGGGGAGACAAAGCTCTCTGCTCCATTCTTGTGTCAACAACTTAACAGGGTGGGGTAGCCTTGTGGTAAAAGTGTTCAATTCCCGACATGGGTACAATGTGTGAAGCCCATTTCTTGTGTCCCCCGCCATGATATTGCTGGAATATTGCTAAACGCGGTGTAAAACCATACTCACTTACTCTCTAACTGGCTAACATGTATTGATTACAAGATGTGAGACTCGATTAGTTACAGACAGCCGTCATATAGCTGGAATATTGCTGTGTGCGGCGTTAAACAACAACACCACGCCACGTCACGCCACGCCACGCCACAAACAAACAAAACAAGATTTGATTTCATTCTTGGTCATTGTACCCTGATGGAGTAGATCCGTTCTTGCACACACTGTTGTTACCTTTCCTTGATTCAGTTATTTACAGGTTGTAGTGATATAGCTGAAATATTGCTGACTGCTGCATTAAACAACATTCACTCATGTACATCAAGAGTGAGTGAGTGTATTTTGTTTGATGCTTCAGTCAGAAATATTCAAACTACATAAAGATTATGAGCTAGGAATGGAAAACAATCGAAGCTCCTTTCAAAAGGAGTCCAATAACAGAGTTAGTCCTACTTTTGTAACGGGCAGACATGGACACTAGTCAGTTAGTCCAACACTAGTAACAATCTAGACAGACTAGTTGTGTAATCTCAAAACCTAGTTATCTTACATCACCACTAGACTTGTTGGATATGACCAGCGGTCTACCCCCGAGAGTGTATGGATACTTGGATGCAATGATTTCTGTGTGAATATTGCTCACCATTCAAACCTTTCCGAGTCACATTGTAATATAGGAGCTCTTGTGGTAAATTCTAACTAGATGTGGAATGTCTTCAGCAGTAACAGTGTTGAATGTGTTTATTGAATATGCTGGCTCAATGTATTTGTTGAATGTGTTTGTTGAATGTGCTTATTGAATGTGATTGTTAAATATGGGGGTTGAATGTGTTTGTTGAATATGCTTGTTGATTGTGTTTGTTGAATATGCTGGTTGAATGTGCTTGTTTATTTTGTTTGTTGAATATGCTGGTTGAATATGTTGGTTGAATGTGATCGCAGATTGACCACCTGTTGGCCAAGTGAGGACAAGAGACAAATGCGACAAGTGCAATACTGGAGTATGGACGGACCTGCAGCCGGTGTTGACCATCAGGACGCTGCTTCAGACAGAGGCCCACCTCATCCCGAGCCACAGACTCCTGTTGTTGCTGCAGTAAACATGCAGTAGCACTACCTTGACATGGGAAATATTCAAAGGAAGAACCAGGTCCTTTACTTGGTGGTGTTGTGCTGCTTTAGTAAGAATCAAATATTGTGGTAGATGTTGCTGTTTTCTCCATAGTCTTCATTATTGCTATACCTCTGGTATGGCGTTGCTGGGTCCAGATAGCAACACATATGTTGGTGTCTTCTGTAGGAGTATTGTCAAACATTGCATAATATGGGCTAGTACGGTATAAACCAGAAATGGTCACAACCAGTATTACCTCCCCTTGACCTTGTACTGGGATCAGTTTGCATGGATTATTAAGTTCAAGTTCCAGAGATTGTTGCTGCAAGATGATGGTATCACGTATTCTTCACCGATGTGAGTCTGCCAAGTAAATACAGAGGGAAGGTGTACAACTGTTTTGAATTAGAGGACAAGCTACTGTTGCTGTAGTGGAAATGTTTTGAGACACCCACTATTAAATATAGTCATGACCATCACTTTTTCTGACTAAATAATGCATTGTAAACAAATCATGCAGTGAGCTTCCATATACTCGGACAGTGTGTACATGAGAACTCAAGCCATTTTTAATGTGCTGAATATGTTTTGGTTGGGTCTTGGTTCCTATTGTTGGAGTTTAGCTCCTTAAGGCTTAAAAAAATAAAAGAATTGGTTCTCAGGCCATTGCTTTTGAAAATATAGTGCGGGTTTGTGGACGGCATCTTTGTTTTGGTTGTTCAAACTCGGATGTAACCATATAAACAGGTGTGTAACCAGATAAACAGTGGTGTTCAATCAACCTGGGACAGTGTCTCCCTACCTAAATGTATTCCTTGATGAGTAAAATACTGGAATACAGTGTTTGACTACCGTTTGACTTAAAGGATTTTTTTGGGTAAAAAATGGAAATAAAAATGTGTGGCAAACTTTATGATGATGCGGGCGGTGCCTGAGAGCAAATGCTATCTTAGATAGAGATCAATAATCCTTGTAACATATTCAGACTTCGAAAAACATACAATGAGCATTGTATATGTACCAATCATGATCATCCATCTCAACAATCAAGCTACACTTTTTCTGCCTCATACACGGCTCTTGCGACTAACAATTATGCTTGTCGTAAAGGGCGACTGACGGGATGGGGTGTTCAGGCTTACTGACTTGGTTGATACATATTATTGTATCCCAATTGGATGGATCGATGCTCATGATGTCAATCACTTGATTGTCTTGTTCAGACTTGATTATCTACAGACCGCCATCATATAGTTGGAATATTGCTGAGTGTGGCATTAAACAACAAACAAACAAACAAATCCTCTGCATGACCTGTCTCTCTTCAGTTCCAGTTCAAGAGTTTTGTCTTCCCACAATGGACCCAGGGTGTGACTGACAGTTTAACAGTATCTTTACAGTTACATTTGCTTGCTTATGCTTGATGTTTTTAATCACTGATTGTTATTTTATAACAGTGATCAAAAGTGGGATTCGTATCACTTGGAAGCTGAATTATTTTATGTTTTAGGTCAATTCTTCTGTGAACTTGTTCAGTGTTAACCAGCAGTGTGAAGCAGTGTTAAACATGCCATGTCTTTCAAAGCTCTGTGATTCATTGTTGTAGCAATGAAGTGCTTCTACACTATTGTCCAGTCCAGTGTATGTATATAGTTTGTTGCAGCCAGCTGTGCTTGAAATTGATCTTCAGCAACCCATGTTTGTTGTAAAAGGCGACTAACAGGATCGGGTGGTCAGGCTCACTGACATGTCATTTCCCAATCGCATAGATCGATGCTCATGATATTAATCACTGGATTGTCTGGTCCAGACTCAATTATTTACAGACCGCCGTCATATGGCTGGAATATTGCTGAGTGTGGCGTTAACCAACAAACTGTGTGACCCTCCAGAAAAATATATAATATTTGGTTGTAGTGGTGTCAGCAGCCAGGTGGCACTTATGTGTTTGATATATATCACAGGTATGCTTCTAGATGTCATGACATGTCGGATGTAAACTATTTATTATTGTACATAGACTAAGAGATGCCATGTGGTGTGAATACTTGTTTGTTATAATGGGGGATCAACATGCTCTATAAGAGGGAAATAAAATGAAAATTATTAATGAACTTCCATTCCTTATTCTTTTCATACACTTCAGAAAACATGTGTCTGCAGTACAATGTACAGGCATACCCAAGGCTCATTGTCAACGATTTCCTTTAAGTCTGTTGACTGGTTAAGTAAGGATGTGTCAAAATATATGTCTGGTCATCTGTTGAATGATGCCATACATAGAATGAAGTTGCCAAGTGTTCAACATGTTCAACAATGCCTTTGCCAACAATATCAAAGATCAAGTGTTACAACTTTCCACTATTTACATGTGTGTCCTTGTAATTCTCAAAGGTGACATGTCACAAGCAGCAATAACACATTATTGAGACATTACAATAACCAGAGTTTTTTCAATGCACATAAAATTGTGATCCTTGTGTGCAAGTTTTAGTTGATTTTCAGTTGTAAAATCAGTAACCCTACCTTTGCAATGCTTTCTGAAACATATCAACAAACTTGAACACAATCAACCACAGCCAACAGCAGATGTAGGTTGTTTACATAGGATGATCATCTAGTGAGTGAGTTAGGTTTAACGCCGCTTTTAACAATAATCCAGTTATATTGCGGCTTGTCAGCTTAATGTGGGAGGAAAGCCCGAAGTGATGCAGGTCTCAGACATTTACCACTTCAGTGAAACCCACGAGCACAGGTATGGTGTTTGACAAACCTAGAAACATAATCGGGGCGAACCAGGATTCGAACCCACAATCATAAGGTTTCTGGCGTGCCCAAGGGACGCAACTCTGCACAGCGAATCGACTGGACCACCCGTGCCCCCTCATCATCTTGTATCTGCAGCAGACCGGATTTATGCCATCTGCAATTATCCAGTGTTTTGTATCTCTATTATGATACCCAGGTACCAATCGCCAACACAGCTTCATTCATGGACATGACATCAACATCTCCCTCTCTATCACTACCTTGGCATAGACTGTTCCTCGCTCTGTATTGAGTGGCAAAGCTTTGGTTGCCAATGGATACAGGGTACTGTAAGTCTTGAAATTAATGCAAGTGGTCTTTGTTTGCATTAATGAAACTTTGCATTTATGTCTCCAAAATAGGGAAAATACCATCTTGAATATAAACACAAACATGGTTTATTGAGCAGAAGTTGTAACAAGTATATAGCCTTGTCATTCAAACAATAGGAAATACACAGTAGGCATCCAGTGAGTTACCACTGCTGGGGCCAAGAGTTCTATCCACTTGTGTCAAACTGAGAGTCACATTTTTTGTCCAGGGCATCAGCAGTCGTATTAATTTGGAGATGCATTAATTTCAAGATATACAGTATTTATCACAACAGCACATGTAGTGTCTGCTTTGGCAAATGACTTTGTTTGAAATATGCCACTGTTCACCGAGCAGTGAACGGGTACCCAGAAGTTTGACATGTATATCCGAATGTTAACCTGGCAGCTTGGATGTATACTCCCCAGGGAGCTGAGAATGAAAATTGAATGCACATTGATCCACTGACTGCCGCAAAGAGCCTGCTTGAGGATGTGGATTTGGTGTTATAAAAATGCACATTATTATTATAACAGAATGGAGAATCACTTAAAGTACAACAGATAAGCTGCAGACAAAATGTATCCAACACTTTCTTATTACATGTTCTTTTACAAATTACAGAACATGTACTAGATATGAAACATCTATCCACAATGTTTGGAGGTCAGACACTTTGCACAAAATACTGACTCATCACTAAAGTGAACATGACATAACACTTCATTGGAAGATAAAGGCCATTGTTAAGTGAAGAGTTGCCTGCTCTTGATCCAGCAATGATCTGGATCATGAAGGTATGAAGACACCATGAAACACTACAGTTGGTTCTCGCAAGACTTGGGTACTGGTTACAATGTTCTGAGGTGGGGTGAGGTGAAAAGCAGGTTAATGTCATGTCCAAGAGTATTGCACTTATATATACATGCATGCACTTAGTTGTGTGTGTGGCTGCTTTTACTAGTCCGGACTGATGTGAATTTATAGTGCTAGCCCACTGAGATACCATGCCGCAATTTAACATGAATACCCCACTCGGACACAGTATACTGACTCCGAGCTGACCAGTCCTTGCTTTAACCCCTTAATGCTGAGCGCCAGACAGGGTAACAACAAGTACCATCTTTTTACGTCTTTTGGTATGACGCGGCCGGAGATCAAACCCCGGACCTTACGCACTCCGGGATGATGCTCTACCACTAGACCATGGAGGGATCTCATGAAGGTATGACAACACTAAGAAACACTACAGTTGGTTCTTGCAAGACTTTGGTACTGGTTACAAGCCAATCCAATGTAATCTACATGATATAAACACAACCAAAAACAACCTTCGCAAACAAGAATTTATTCTAGTTCAGGACACAGTCAGAAATGTTGAACCGAATACATGTACAAATCTATCTTGAATGTTCCAGTCATACGGGTACCTGAAGTAACTGTCACACAATATTTCTGGCATAAAGTTCCTACAGGACGTTTCATTACTTGATGTACTCGTGATCCTTGTGGCCAGGCTGTAGCATGGGGATGTGGGGCCAGAATGTGGGCTTGCTCACAGGGTCCAGACTCTTGTCAGGGAAGTAGTAGGCGTACATCTCATGTGTCATCTGGTCGGGCGGAGGGATGCTCCCCAGCTTGTCCAGCTGTAAACATCAAGTGAAGAAAATGACTCACTTCACGTACAAGTGTTGGGAACTTCATAAAGTCATGTCCATTCAAATATGAAGAATACAGCAATGAACGCAGACTAGTTGACCCAATATAAACATGAGGAATGGAAAGCAACAAAAAAGGAATTGTGTACTGAGTTGCTGAGATTTCATATTTATTAACATATCCTGCATTACTCCTTAATGCATTTAATGTTTGCTTTTGACAGAAAGACAAATCTGTGTGAGGTCCAGCTGAAGAAAAAGTTGTTCAAACTAGTTGTGGGGCTAATTTCAGCCTCATCAATACATATATTATCAATACACAATAATTCAGATTAAGTTGGTTTTCAATTCACAGAATAGATTCCAGCATTCACAAGATGAACTACGAAACAAATGATAAAACACATTGGTTCTCCTCCGCTTAATAAAACATGAGGATTATAATAAGGATAGTAACACCAGCAGCACCTCAGACTTAGTTCCTCATGCTTGAATGGTGTTTCCTTTTGGAGGAGTATCATTGTACCCATAAAAATGGACTTCAAGCCACAAGTGATTCAGTTATTTACACAGTTGGAATGTTCAGACAGACCAGCTGTCACCAACTTTGGAGTGAATCAGTATGTCTATACATCACATCAACTTACCATCATCCTGGCTTCCTTAATCTGTCCCTGAAGCACGCCAACGAAAGTTTTGCTGTCAGCCTCCTGTCAATCCAGAACAATGCTGTATTTATTTACCATAAAAATAACATCACCAGGTTTGTCACATTTCAACACAAATTCAAAATGCCATGGTAAATATTTCCTATTGTATCGTTTTTGTTACACCTATCTTAACAATGCTTCACTGAGTTAACATGTAGCATCCCCAATAGAATCACAGCAATTGATAAACCTAAGTAAAATCATAATTCAGTAAGGAGGGTTTAACACCATCTTATTAACACCTACTTGAACAGCATTTCATAAACATCAGTGTAAATCGGGAAAGGATGCTGGACGTAAACATTTACCATTTTAATGAAAACCACAAGCATGGACATGATGTTAAAGAATCTGGTGAATCTGTGATTCAAACACAACATGATAGGATTCTGGTACTCTGTGAATTACATGGCTTTAGATGACTGGACCACCTGTGCCCAACTATACATGATAACAACTGCTGCTTGACTTATAACAAATGCAAACTTACAGCCTTCTTCTCCTGGGTATCTACCTCCTGCAGCATATTGTTCTTGTCCTTCGGAAATGGTACAGAGACATTCTGGTACTGGAAACATAGACATCAAGTTAGGAACCATGTTTTACCTAAATGGGTCGGTTTTACTGTATGTGCAGTAAATGCAAGACATGTCTCTCAGAATAGTCCATAATGCTTCAACTTTATAATGTTCAACACTAGAGTAAAAGTTGTTTTGTGCATTGTCAGCAATATTACAGCTATACAGCGGTTAGAATTGACCCCTGAAAGTCTATGCTTGTTGCACAAATGTGATTCAGTGGGTCTGGTGATGAGGCTCGGTGACTGGGTTCATTGCTTGTTAATGTCCCATGACCACTTTCATCTTATCACTTGGGTGAGTGAGTGAGTTTGGTTTTACGCCGCTTTTAGCAATATTCCAGCAATATCACGGCAGGGGACACCAGAAATGGGCTTCACGCATTGTACCCATGACGGGAATCGAACCCGGGTCTTTGGCGTGATGAGCGAATGCTTTAACCACTAGGCTACCCGACCGCCCCATCTTATCACTTGGTCCTTTTCAATTATTTTACAGGCTGCTGTCATATCTCTGCTCTGTAAATCTTGCCTGATAGTATGCGCAATGACCAATGTTGTTTTACTCAGCTTCTTTGATAAGCATGTGAAACTGGGGACCTCTTCACATCTGTAATTTCCACAGTGTTTTGTTTTAAGGGGGGGGGGGAGCATAAATTGATATGACTGAAGATAAGTTTGTTCAGGTCAGCATGGTCAGGCTGTTTCAGGCATCCATCACATATCACATATATGATTATGAACATAAAAATGTTTTACCTGTTTTTCAAACTGTTCTGCAACAGCAGCGTTTGCAAGTCTAGCTTTGTAAAACGAAAAGTCAAGCTTAGGCAGGCTCTCCGGATACTGGTGGACCCTGAAACATAATCAAGTGTGTCAAGACTTCTAATTCTTTGTCACAGCTACACTGGAGGCTAACACCTACATAACTAATGTTCAGCGGATACAGTTGAGTAAGTCCCAATTAGAAATACTCTGTTATGATTCAATGTAAAACGATGTCTGAAAACCAGCAGTATTTGGTATTACAGTAATACACTATGGAAGATTTTGGAATGACGGTATAACATTTATTAAAGGAAATAGGAAACAGCTTACAGAACAAATGAGGCACAGTGATATGAGTTTAATGTTAAAGGAATTGTTTTACTGGTTTGGATTTGACCACCATTAAAATTGTCTGCCAAGCTCTTGATGTGCTTTCATGACTTAAGCAACTCTCACACTTTGCCGAGGTGGTTGCCGAGCTCTCCCGAGCCTAACTTGGTTAGGACTCGGGAAGAGACTACATATATACGAGTACGCTACAAGTGTGTTACGAGACCCATAGGAGTCAAAAAGGAGTACAATAGGAGTCTATTAAGAGCTGGTACGAGTTTGGAACGAGGAGGCTACGAGCTGCTAAATAATTTGGCAGGAATTAAACTTGAATAGCTCGTATTAGACTTGGTCAACTTGGCAATAAATGTTGCGAGTTCATACGAGTTCTGTATGAGCACCACGAGGGTACGAGTAGGACGAGTGTGTTACGAGTTTGTAATGAGTTTCTTAGGAGTTGGCTGGCGGCCTGACTGTTTTGAGCAGTTCCAAAACTCTCGTAGATCAGTTCGAGGTATCCCAAGTTACCCCAAGTTTAGTACGACCTCACTACGAGCTCCATATGAGTTACCCCCAAGTCAGCTCGGGTCCATACTCGGCATGCAACCTGGCAAAGTGTGAGAGCCCCTTTAGCTACCTACTTTTGCTATGGGACAATCCATAGCCCCTAGCAGAGAACTGATGAGGGCATACAGTAACTGCAGCTACTTATTAACCATGTGTTTTTCGCTAATAATATTTGGAATGTCTTCAATCTTATAAATTTTGTGTTTTTTTCATAATAAGATCAGAAAATTCAGATCTACTGTCTTTAATTATTTGCATAATAAGCATTAAAAAAGAGCATTCAATATACCTCTTCCTACAAATTGAAAGATACAATAGTTACACATATCTTAGTGTCTATTATCAACTCTGAACACTGAACATGCTGAACATAAACATGGATATGCAATTGGGACATTTCTACTCTATTGACAGGCTGTTGGTGTTGTCATGGGCACTACGAAAATGTACAGGTAAAATCACAGGTACCTTATGTTCACAGAAACATAGCTTACCCTGGTAATAAATTTCACATTGTCACTTAAACTCATTCATGTGTGCAACATGCCTCAAATTTGACGTTTAATAAATCCCCTACAATCCTGACTTTAGCAGTGTTAATATTGCCAAGCTTGTGTACATTTTTGTACTCTGATTTTGGTAAGGGTATATTTCTGTAGCGGTGTGCAGGCCATGACTCCCAACAGCATAAATATGTGAAGGGGTTTATTCATCAGTCGGGAGATGTAAATAATACTAAATATTGCATATATGCTCATTTCGTATCCTAATTAAAAACGAATAACTAAAATTGACAAATGAACACAGATGTCAACAGGTAAATCTACAGTTTAGTATTTTCCATTGACATTGAAAAGAGGTATTTGACATTCATGCCAACAGAATTCTATTGCAAACAAATATATTTCTGGATAGCAAAGTAAATGAACAAGACCTGTTTACAATGCTCTCTGATTTTGCTTTGAAGGCTCTAAAGAAATCCCGCTGGTTGGCTGGGACCCTTTCAGCAAATGCTGTCCAATCGACAGCTGATTTTGCAATTCTTCTAGCAGCCATCCTCGCAGCGTGTAAATGGCGACGGAGAGACTGACCTTGCCCTCGACCAAGGTTATGACACAACGTGAGATCTCGAGGAACGAGATTTGAGAATCGTAGAGTATGGCGTCCACATAATGGAAATAGGACGTAAAAATGTTACTATTTTGAATAGGAAAAGGATTAGACAGATAGATTAGTAGTTGTAGGAAGGGCATTGGGTACCTTTTTATATCGGGGTTAATTAAAGTAGGGGGGTTTAAATCACAAGCACCATGTCGACTGAAACTATGGAAACAAATCATAGTGCTGTCAACTCAATTTCAAGGCAAGACAGCAAAACAAGGAAGGCCGAGTGGGTGAGGTTAAATGTCGGAGGCACCATATTTATGACCACAAGAACGACTCTCTGCAGAGATCCTAAATCATTCCTCTATAGATTGGTGCAGGAAGACCCCGACCTTGGTTTGAACACGGACAAGGTGAGTCAGTTGACAAGAGGGACCAAATTTAGGCCTCAGATCTATTTTTGATCAGTTTGGTTTTACTTGGCTCGTGCATCTGGCTAGTGTCTAAGTCAATGTCTACTTTGCAACTTTATCATTATTGTCATGCATTTTTGTGGCGAGTGATCTCTCTCTCGAGGTTAATGTGTACATTGTCCATCCCAAGTCAAAACAACTTGCAGAGCACTACTCTCCAATATAACCCATCGCCAATATTGCTCTTTTTAAGCATGGAAAATGAAGACACGAAGCATGCAAATGCACTTGATATTCTTGTTTATTTTATTTTTTTCATTTTTTCAGTTGCATTTATTCTTCTCACAAAAAAGCCTAGTGACCAGGATGAAGTAGTTTCCTGGCAAATGTTTTGGCTGCAGAAACTCTCATGGATTTCCACCTTCACTCACAACTCTTCGTCAGTAGGTCTAATCATAATGATTCAAATGCCGACTCACCCTCATGGCGTCATTAGTCATGCCGATGCCTCCCTAGTTCCTTCCTTTAATCCATGTTATCTTTACAGTGTTCCAACTCATACCTTTCTGTGACAAAATCACCAAAAACCGTCATTCATGTATACTCGTGAATTAAACATCTGATGCTTGGAGCCATACTGGCTCTTCATTACCACTTAGTACCTTGTAGATTACGGAATGGGACAAGTGTTGCCAAATGACATCAGGATCACTCGTGAGTGTCGGTAGACTAAAGTCACAAGACACAATACCTACCCTTAACCTTCGAAAGTGTCCATCACCTATTCAACACTTCCCGTTCAGTTCCGTAACATCTTATTCGTGACGAGGTAAATTTGCACTAAGTTTAATAGTGGGGACGTATATTTCAGTCTGTAACAGTCTGAAGGTCGCAAGTTCGCATCCATCATATATTCTCACAAAAGCTGTTTGCATGTCTTTGAGACACATGTCCTACAGCAAAGATCTTCCTCAGAAGAAGTTGTTGTACTGCATTCTAAAGGTGCTCCGCTCTCTTAGTATCGCTCTTTGCACTCTGCCTTTGTTCCCATCTCATCGTTTTGAATAAAGCCTCTCAAGGCGAAAAGCTCCTTCTTGTGTTACGGTCGTCTGGAGTGTCCCCAAACCTTACTGGTGTGGTGGCAGTGCTATGGATAGCTTCTCACATCTGACATTCATTTGGATCATGCTAAACATTCGAAATATCACCATCGCTTCACAGCAGTCAATCGGCCACTATTGCTTTTACTGGTTAGCACAAGTTACACCCACATCATGGCTAACACTTCAAGAGCACCTAAACAGTGGTGTTTAACATTTGAAAATTGGTGTCAAAATCTTTTATACACATTATCACTGGATCGGTACTTTGTGGACGGGTGCCACATGGCCCCCAAAACTGCCCTTGACCCTTTTGGGGGATTTACCAATGATAATGAGGAGGTAGACGCTATGTTGCGACGAACAGCTCTACATTAGGTCAGTGCACCAGAATTTATGCTCAGACATATAGCTGACTATTGCCCTATGATTTCAAGGAACACTATGGTGAAGAGTTCTATATCTATTGATCAGATCGCAAGTTATCAACCATTATGGGTTTCAGTCTACTGGAGCTCACTTCATAGACTTTTCTGACATTAAGATTGACCCGGAGGAACTCCCAGAAGATTTATATCAGTTCCTAATGGCCTTTATCGAAGACAATCTCATGCCTCAGATTGGTGCAATCACACACCGTAGAGAAATCATCAGTGAGGATGAGGAACTTTCACCCAGAGAACTTTGTTATCCTCACATGGCTACGCTTAATTCACCCTGATTTGCCCAAACCAGTCAAGCAAAGTTGTGGTACAGAACTACGCTCACAGACTTTGGCTTCTATTAAACCAGAAGTTTCGCAGGCTCTATCATCTCTCTTAGATGAGATACATACAGGGGATGACGTGAACATTATGAGGGTTGCATCATCTTTAGTTGGCAACCAAAGATCTTCGTTCACCAACAGACACCTATAAGCCTTCTCTCAACACCCAAACAAGGTGTGCCCTCTGTGCAGTCAAGCTGGATGCTCAGAAGTACAGCATTTTTTCAGTACCGGTACATCATTTGTACATGCCCACACCTACCATATAATGACAGGAAGTATATGACAAAGGTTCGGCAAATATCCCACATTTTGGAGACAGAAGAGGATGACAATGAGGCGGTAGAGGATGCTCTTATTGTTGACTCCCCCACATTACCTAGTTCTACCAATGTCTCAGCCCCAAGGATTCAGATCCGTCAGTCACCGTACATAGAAGCTTTCCACTACAATCATGTTGTTCACCTCACCCTCGACATCTGGAAGCTAGGGTTACCAAGTCATTGCAGTCAGCCCATCAAGCAGACTGATCCTCAACCCTGGAAGTCGTTTGAGAGACCTGCATGGCATTTACAGGTGACGACAAGGAATTTTTATTCAAAGGCTTGGGGTGAGAGACACTCTTGTCAAGTTAGTCCAGTTGCTATCCTACCCGACAGCAGTGTGGCAGCCCTTGATCCTACAACTTCATTTCCACAAATCTCAACTGTTCTTCATAAGGGATAAACTACTCCAGCCTGATTCCATACCTCCACCATTGGTAACAGCCAGTTTCAAGTCGCTTCTTGAAGAGTGTGACCACCTTTTTCAGGGTTATAATAGAAAGTCAGGTCCATTCCAAGCAGTTGTGAACATGGGTCCTGTAATACAACCGCATCACAAAGGACATGTCCCCAATATTCTAGGGACAGGCTTGTAGAACTAAAGATAAAGTCCAACGAACTTGAAGATCTGGGAGTCATGATATACTCACTCATTGTGTTAGGCAGAATAATCACATAGACATGAAAACAGTCTCATGAAGGTCTTCTGTTATGTTTTCTTGACCTTATGCTACAGTCAGTCTATGTGCACTGATTGCGTTTTGGTTCTCACTCTTCCCATAATGTTACCATATTTTCTTATGCATTATAGACAATATTGTGCAAGTTTTGTTGAAAAAGGCGGTTAGTGTATGCCATCACCAATATGTCCCATCTTAATCAGCAAGCATAAGGCCCACTTTCTTATTTACTTTCTGCCAGTGGACTTTGAGAAAAGAAAAGAGGAAGTTTACACTAATATTGTTGTCTAGTTATGTGTGGGCAAGGGTCATAGAGATAACTCCCTTAGCAACGCTCTCTGCACTCCGCCATTGTTCCCCCCCCCCCCCCCCCCCCCTCGTGGTTTTGAATAAAGCCTCTGATAACAAAAAGCCTCTCAATTTGGTGTCCCTCAAACCTTACTGGTGCATGATAAGTTCTCTCTTCAAATACTTGGCATGCAGTCTTACTGTTAGTAAGCCAGGAAGACTCTCTTGACCAGCTTCCACTTAGCAAAAGCAAAAGTAAGCATGGTAAGGCTAGTTTACATTTATCATTGTAGGGGCGTCGGGTAGCCTAGTGGTTAAAGTGTTCGCTCATCACGCCCAAGATGGGTTCGTTTCCCGACATGGGTACAATGTGTGAAGCCCCTTTCTGGTGTCCCCCACCGTGATATTGCTGGAATATTGCTAAAAGCGGCGTAAAACCATACTCACTCACTCACTCATTATCATTGTGACAGCTAGCATGTGTGGCTAAACATGCTAAAGAATTTCTTGTGTTAATATCTTATGTAGTAATATTGTGTTTCAGGATGAAGAAGGAGCCTACCTCATTGACAGAGATCCCACCTACTTTGGCCCAGTTCTCAATTACTTGAGACATGGGAAACTTGTCATTAATAAGGATCTTGCAGAAGAAGGTAAGTATCACCATGGCATGAGTTAGATCACCTCACTGTTCAGGAAAATATTATGACCTATTGGACTGGGATGAGTAACTTGTGTCAGATGAGTCCTGAGTACCAACAGGACTACCCGAGCCATGGTTAGTCATGGGATATATAGTCTAATGACAAGAACAATAAAACTCCATGGTTACACTACAAGCCTCTAATATTCTTATTTCTTTCTGACTACCTGCATTTCTTCTGATTTCATATGTTTGAGTAAAGATAAAAATTCAGTTAACTTCAGTGTATGCATAATCAGATTGGTCTCTACATGGATCTAGATAGTTTTTGCCAGTGCTCCTGTGAAACAGTTCCTAGTCGAACATTTTGTACCCAACTCTTGAGACCTACAGCTAGTACCCAGGTACGGTCATGTAATAGGAGTTAGTGTATAGTAGTCATGGTAGTGGGACGATATACTGATGCATCAGTGGATCACAATATTTTACTTCTCAATACAAGTATTGATCACAGTCGCACAATAAGTAAAATAATGTTGATTCTTACCTTAACTTAAACATTTGCGTTAGTAACTAATTAGAAGTGAAAATATGCAGTTAAAATATATTTTCATTCATTGTGCCATACTTGATACAGCCAACAGTTAAATCGTCAGTGATACACAGTATTTGGCCATCTTGACTATGAAAAAGATGGCTAATGCACCACAGTTAAGAGCACTTGCAAGTGTCGTGATATGCATCAGATCACATAGTTGGTGTATCGTCCCAGCCCTAGTCGGGTATCAGGGGTAGTAAATTTGGACTCCCAGCCTTAATGACCTGTATTAATCATGTGAGGATAAAGCATACATTGGGATTGTAATGTAAACCTCAACATGTTCAAAGGGAGGGACATGGATGTGGAAAACTACAGGTGAAAATGTACCGCTTAGCTTAAAAAGGAAGGTCCTCAACAAAGTAATATCCTTCTTATTATGTTTGTAGAAAACTATGATATAGAAAAACTAAGGGAGTTCTGTTCAATGTATCAAATATTGTGCATGTTCCACATCATATATGGCATCATGCCTGCATCCTAATTAAATTACCAAGTGGAGATCTGAATCATTCTTTTTAATGCAACAATAGGTCCCTAGTACCAATGCTGTTACTGTTACTTTTCATGCTGCATCATATTAATATGAAAACCTGTCCTTCAGTTTACATTAAAAGTTAAAACGGGTCAGAATAGGTCTTCAGCAACACATGCTTGCCGAAAAAGGTGACTACGCTTGATGTAAGAAGCGACAAACAGTATTGGGTGGTCGGGCTTGCTGACTTGGTTGGTGCACTTCATCGTATCCCAATTGCGTGGATAGATGCTCATGATGTCAATCACTGGACTGTCTGGTCCAGACTTGAGTATTAGCTCAAATAGCTGGAATATTGCTGAGTGTGGCATTAAACAACAAACAAACAAATATTACGTATAAACTTTTTTGTAAATATTTTGCTAAGAGTTTTAGACACTAGCAAGTATATATACCATTAGTTATCTTGAATTTGTTTTTAGTCAGTGTATTTGATTGAATGTCAAACACCAAATGTTGATTAAGCTGTTGTGGTAAACCAATCCTTAATTGTCTCAAAAACCGATGCTTTACACTAGTGAGTTGACAAGTGGAAGAGAATGCTTCAAGGAAACATGTGTCTATTTTCAGGTGTTTTGGAGGAAGCTGAGTTTTACAACATCACCGATTTGATAAAGCTGGCCAAGGATAAGATCAGAGAACGAGATGCCAAACAAAACCAGGTAAGTGTCTTACTTTCCTTATCTTCAGACTTTTTTTTGATGTTGCGACGGTCGTCACAATGGCCTCTAACAACTGATACGAATGGTGGCTGAAAAGTTTTGAGCCTAACTACACAGGATGTATAGTACGCCATGACTGTTTACAGGCTGCATTCGAACCAAATACACGACCAGGTAGCATAGTTTTGCAGGCATCAAAATGACATGGTATTGTCTGTTGATGAGTCTGGCTGTCATCAAGTATCTCCAACTGAAAGAGATGACTCCAACAGACTTCCAAGTAGATATGGTGTCAACTTTAGGGGAAGATGCTCCTTCCTTTGCCACTGTTAAGTGGTGGATGGTGGGGTTTAAGAGGAAGAGAGAGCCTTGGAAGATAATCAGGAAGACCTTAAACTGTCACCTCAAAGTAAACTCTTGATAAAGAAATGCTGTGTTATGGATGGTCGACGACTCACCACACGTTACATAGCCAATACAGAGGGGGTAGGTCGGGTAACCTAGTGGTTAAAAGCATTCACTTGTCACGCTGAAGACCCGAGTTTGATCTTGACATGGGTACATTTATAAACTGCTCGCCACATAACTGGTGACCATATCTGTTTAGGATTGGCTCCTAAAATATTAATGTTAGAAGCCGCTTGGCTATTTAACAAAAGAACGAACTTAGAGAGCTTATTGTCAGTTACTTGTTTATTTGATGATGAATTGTTTGTTTCCATTAGAACTTGTTGGGGCGGTCGGGTAGCCTAGTGGTTAAAGCGTTCGCTTGTCACGCCGAAGACCCGGGTTCGATTCCCGACATGGGTACAATGTGTGAAGCACATTTCTGGTGTCCCCCGCCGTGATATTGCTGGAATATTGCTAAAAGCGGCGTAAAACCATACTCACTAGAACTTGTTGAATAGATGAACAAGGTTTCCATACAACAATCAAGACTTTCTTTACTACCATGTTTTCCAGACATATATGAAGAATGTATATAGAGTGCTACAGTGTTCTGAGGAGGAGCTCACACAGATGGTGTCCACAATGTCTGATGGCTGGAAGTTTGAACAGGTAAGTTGGATGGCAGTTAGCACTTTAGTTTGTTATCTGTAGGGAGTGTTGATGGGGGAAACCAGTGAAATTATGGTACCATATATGACCATAGATTAGCCGATATCAAAGATAAGCCGACGCATTAACTTGGTCCTTAAATCTATATCAAAATGTTCTGTGCGGTAGATAAGCTGGACCTCCAACCTAAAACTACATCTCGTCATGATCTGTCATCGGAAATAGAATATTAACAAATCCATAATGAATATACGCAAGTTAATCATATCGTTACACCATCAATAATGAAAAGCGTTCATTGTATATGGGGACTCACGTTTGTAATCTACTGAATGTATCTTATTAATAGTAGTCAAACTTTCAGTCAATAATATTTACATTAATTTCTATGAAATCGTGTGTCCCTCCGGTACCCTCTGCTTGCCTTATTCAATAAGGTCTGTTTACCAACTCACCGTTATTTACAGCAATCACAATCATATTATCGCTATTGATGCCTTGAAATGGTATACATTTACTCACTAAGACTATTTAAGTATACTAGACCAATTTCCTCCTGCACATTTATTTTTTCTTAAATTTACTTCTTTCATATCGGCTGTCACCAGCTAATGGATAAGGTCACAGAATGCTTGTGGTTTTATTTGAGTTAGTAACTTTGTTATATCTTCTTTTCAAGCTGATCAACATAGGATCCCAGTACAACTACGGGTCAGAAGATCATGCAGAGTTCCTATGCGTGGTCTCCAAAGAATGTCCGAACATTGTCAATGGTCATGAGAGTGAGTCGACAGATCGTGCCAAGGTGGGTCTTGATCATCTTCCCATTCAGGCATTGTTTGGAATATAAATTTTAAACAAGTCAAAGTTTACAGTGCTGTAGGAAATGTTTGCACGTTATGAAAACTGAATATTTGGATCATGTGTTTATGATGATTTTTATTTGCCAGAGAAATGAGATATGTTGTGTTTCGGAGACGATTATCTATAATTAAATATGATGGAAATTCATGTTCCATGTCACCAGCTTAGCCAACATTACCAACAGTGGCTTTTCAGCTAAGTTGTTGCAATTTACTGTGCAGAGTTGCGTCCCTTTGGCACACCAGAAGAATCCTGGTTTGCATCAATTATGTTTCTAGGTTTGTCAGCTACGTACGCATACTTGGGTTTTTTAACAAAGAGGTAAACAAAAAGACCTGCACCACTTCCAGCTTTCCTCCGACATCAAGCTGAGACGTTGTGATGTAACTGGAACACTGTTCAATGCAGCATTAAACCCATTTCACTCACTCACTCACTCATATTAACCAGATTTTGTTTAGGTGTGTAAGTTTGCACCTTTCAACTGGTGTACAAACAACTTAAAGGCGACTATGCTTGTCGTAAGAGGCGACTAATGGGATCGGGTTGTCAGGCTCACTGACTTGGTTGATGCATGTCATCATATCCCAATTGCGTGGATCGATGCTCATGATGTCAATCACTGGAGTGTCTGGTCCAGACTCGATTATTTACAGACCGCAGTCATACAGCTGGTATATTGCTGAGTGCGACGTTAAACAACAAACAAGCAAAACAAAACAAACAACATAAACACTTGTCTTTATCTGGACATTCATAAACTCCTACAATTTAACACCATCATTATGACAGTACATTAATTTTGTGGTGTTGTCTTGACTTACAGGTGTTGCAGCAGAAAGGCTCAAGGATGTGACTAATTCCAGAGTTTTTGAGAAGCGCGTCAGAGACGAGTTGTTCCAGTCTGTTTGACCTTGCTTATCTGTGGTATGAGAAGATTCTGCCATTTTTCAAACGGACATGAAGCTACCGTAGAATCTCACTCCAGCAAGAAGGAGACATGGTGTGTCTTTGCACAGGAAATACATGTCATTGCTGAATTTTGAACAAGTATTCGGTTTCACATTAATGCTCATTCTCGGTGGAACAATTTTGAACATACTTCAGCTCTTCAGCTCTTCAGCATCTTGCATGCGTCATTCGACAACATTAACCGTTGCCATGTCAGTTGTGTGTGGTACACTTGTTGCCCTCTTTAGTGCTTCTCAGACTCTACACCATTATGGATACTGTTACATGTGGTATTATATTTTATAAGAATGCTTTTATCAATACATTAGGGGCCATGATTCCAACTTCCAAGGGAGATAATTTATATTTTGACCATATTTGGAAGCAGAGGATAGCGTTCAGTGGTACATTGCAGTTATTCTGATGGCAAAATAGTAACTTTGCTTTTGTTTTTAGTAATGTGACAAATTATGTAGTTGACTTCAGTGTTTGTCTGAATCTTTGTGTAACTGTGGTTATTGTGCTGAGTCTGGTATGGCTTCCCTTGTTGTATGATCTAGTGCTGTCCTTTAGCATCTGCCCAAGGCAAGAGCGTCCACTAGCCTTTTTATCAAAGTCTTGTTTCCACCCTTGCATCATCAATCCCATTTTCCTGTGCTAAATAGGATTGGACATGACATTAGTCCAATCAGAGAACGTTTCACATAATCAACATCCCCAACTGGTACACTTTTGTATGAACGTGATTTACTGCTGCCTGTTTTTGTTGGCACGAATATGTCTTTTTCATCTTTTGAACCCCCCAACAATTGCCTATGTTTTTGTGTCAGGGATGAAATCGCAAATGTTTCTGTTTTCTGATTGACTTGGTCGTCGGCTATGGTAGTCGCCATCTTTGTGAAGCTATACAAGGTTAGAACAGCGATCTGATTGGATATCATGTTTTCATTACAAGGGGCACAACTCTTGATCTACACGAGGTGGTGCCATGGTCAAGCCAAGAAAAGTGGCTTTGTGGTGCAAGGGTAGAAACTAGGCTTTGATATAAGCTGGTGGACACACTTGCCTCGGGAAGATGTTCTTTAATAACTGAATGCAGTTTTATTTGTATTTTATCACAATCTGCATTTATTGTAAAAGATGAGTCTGTTTGATGATGTTTGATGTTTTGATGATGTTTACCGTTAGCAAGACATAATTACATCAGAATACTGAACATGATTGTTTTCGTAGAAAACTTTAAGAATCTTATTATTATGTTATCGAAATGTCCTCATTTGATGAACTGAAGTATTCTTTGCAATATAGAAAGTTAAAATACTCTGTAATCAAGTGTAATTGTTGTCTAATTGTCTGCTGAGATTATGTGATTGTGAGAGTTCTTTTTGATCAAGTACTAGTCACTTAAATACATGTTATTGAAAATGGGTTTGTGCTATTACTAGTAAAGTTGTCATTCACTGGTAGTGCAGCAAGAGTGTTTAGTAAGCTAGCATAGTGATCTCTGTTTGACTGTACTTGTAAGTCATAGGAGAGATTTGAATTTAGTTATGTTTTGGTCTTTTGAATCAGAATTACTTTGCTTGTCATCGTTAAATGCATCTGATTGACTTGACCAATTCAACTAGGGAGTACAATTACCAGTAAATTCAAGAATATGTTATTGCTTATCCATTCCATATCTGAAAGTACCAGTGCAGTTGTTACCTCCTTGTTGAGATGGTTTGACTAGGTCATCTTAAAAAAATATATTGATTTGTCTATATGCTTGGATTTCACAACAGGAAGGTAGGTAGGTAGGTAGGTAAGATTTGTTTTCTTAGATCAAATTGTACCTAAGTTGTTTTGACAAGGGGGCGTAGGTGGTCCTGTTGCCTCGTACTTGGCAATTCGCTGTGCAGAGTTGCTTCCCTTTGGCATGCAAGAATCCTATGATCATTGTTTGAATCCAAGAGTTGCCCTGATTATGATTTTGGTTTGTCAGTACCGTACCGTTGCTCATGGTTTCACGAAATGGTAAGGATGCACATCCTGCATCACTCAGGGCCTTCCACCACATCAACAGACTTCTCCCTGTGCTGTGAATGTATTATGTCTGCATTTGTACACCTGATACGTGCAGAGATGTCCCTGCATCTGAAACAGTGCCCGTTCAGCAAACACAGGTGTTTGAGATGCTCATGATTCCAGAAAAACCATTCACACAGAAACAGATACTCAGACATGCTCATGAAGATCCAGGGTAGAAGAGGTCATCGGCAATCCATGCTTGCCGTAAAAAGTGACTGTGCTTATCGTAAGAGGTGACTAACGGGATCGGGTGGTCAGGCTCACTGACTTGGTTGATGCACGTCATCGTATCCCAATTCCGTGGATTGATGCTCATGATGTCAATCACTGGCTTGTCTGGTCCAGACAAAATTATTTACAGACCGTAATCATATAGCTGGAATATTGCTGAGTGCGACGTTAAAGAACGAACAAACAAACAAAACAAAAATGCACATAAATGCATTCACTCGGTCAATCTATAATTATCTCTGCAACTCACTCTATTTGATCCTTTAGGCAAAACTGCATGTAGGATTTGCAATGGTATCTATGTGAACATTTGATCATTGACAGTTAACTGATATGTGAACGGACAGTTGATCATACTGATTACTGCCTGTGTTCTAACAGACCAATGAAACTGCCTCTCATGGTACATTAAAGTTTGAAGAGTCATTGCATCTGTTCATGGTTCATTATCAGAAACAAAAACAGTTCATATTAAGTAGGAGCATTTCCTGGTCAACACAGAAAATGTTACAACAGACTAAATCATACTGGCTTAATACTGGCAATTTATTATTCCTGTGAAACAGCTGCTTCCCTTTGTTGCATGGGTATTGGTTGGTCAAAATGTCCTTTGAGTATGGGTAGTTTAATGGGTGGCCATCTGGGAAGACCAACTTTAAACTTATGCATTTCAATAATTCATTGATGCTTTCAAGGTTTACATTGCTACCAGTGTGTTAATTTGCAATGATGCATAGTGCTACCAATGTCTGTAGACTGCAATCATCACGGCCATGGTATCACCTCCATGATAGATAGTGTACAAGTACTGCTGATTTCACTAATGCATATTTCACATCCTCCAACATAAGCCAATATTTGGAACACCATGTATCTAGTCACAACAGGACATGTTCACATCAGGTAGCTAGTAGGCCCAGCAGTAAATGGATTACAGTGTCTGAAACCGTGAGGAATGTCCTTGTTGTTAGCCTAATATTAAAAGGTAGACTTGAGAGATCCCTAGAGGCAATATCGGAGCAGAGCTCAGGTACCCCAGGACACCTATGATTTCAAACACTGAGTTCTCTTGACAAAATCATTCCTAGGTTTTCCTCCTTTTTGAATGGTTTGCATATGGTGTTAGGAACCCTATGGTGATATTTAGTTGCTTAATATTAACAGTATCCTCATTGAAATATGTTTAAATATTTTTCAGTGAAATGTGTGTCATATTTCCTCTAATAAATCCCCTCATATTTATTATTTTCATTCACAGCTTTTCGAGGCATATTTTTGAGGCTGGTCATTTTTGATGGACCATTGATTATAAGAATGTTTTCTGACCAGAAAAGGTGACATTTTTAGCTATGTAAATTGTTTGTTGGACAATACTATTCAGGTATCATTTCATCTCATGAATTTCACCGAACAGTTAGCAGCCCAGTGTTTTTGTCACTAAAACCCATAGTGTAGTCAATACAGTGTTTATGAGAGGAAATATGGATGCTGTTTAAATGCTCCTGATACTTTTGTTGCTTTTGCATGTGTTGTAGAGATGTGATAAATGACACAAATGTTACAACATCCAAAGTATATGGCAATCATCTTCAGTTTTTAATGAAACAATGAAAAGGGTGCTGAGAATGGTTATTTTTCATGTTTATCAGATGAGAAGTAGAACGTGGATTCTACAGAGAATGTTTAGATAGCAGTGCCAAAATGTGTCAACGATTCACCGTACTTGATATTGAACATCTTTTCTTTACCTTTTGTGAGTGTTAGGCTTGATAAAAAGAAATAATTGGTTCTCAATCAATTTTAAGAAGTGTCTATTCACAGGGGGAGTTCTTTGAACAGAAATGATATGTCCCTCGTGCAGGGTTGGGTTTGAAAACATGGCAGTGTCTGCGAACCAAGAGTTTTGTTTTAGCCTTGTCATCACTTCATGTTGAAGGTGTTGTTTATTTATTAAATGTATAAAACAACTTGTAAATTCATCATCATTGATATTACTCTATTTTCTGATATTTCTGTCTATATTTGTGAAAAATTTGTACAATTAATTTTGTAATATCTCCAATACAATTGGTGTATCGACACTGATGAAAACTATTGATTCGTTTGTCATGTGCAATTAAATATCCACTCCTGTGTGACACGAATAAGTATTCGGGAATTAACAAAACATTAATGAATAACAGCACACTATGTGGTTTCTTGTGATGATATCATGAAGCATAACTGTTGTTTTTTTTGTAGTGAATGCATTCATTGTTTCTGAATACACAAGGAAGTGTGATTATTAGCATAAGCATGGACTAAACCAGTCTGTTCACAAGACAAAGCCTGCATATTTAGTGAGCAATTATGTTAAATAACACCTTTTCTTCATCTGGCAATAACTACATACATTTCTATTATTGTCGCATGTAAGAATAAAAACAGGTTAGTTTGCGAGATTCTATTTATTGCCTGCGCAGCATTCTCATCAGCCACAATGCGTGACACCAAGAATATTGCAGGAAGCTGTTTAAAGCACATCTGCTTAGTCTTTATCTTCTCTAGGTTCCTCATTTATACGGTTGTTTGACTATTCTACGTCAGTAATGTAACATTAGCAGGTCTGATTTATTGGTCTGCATCATGTTGCCAATTCATTCCTCATTTCTCAATGTCATATGATCATTGGTACTTCAAGCGTACATAATAGAAATCAAAATGCCATTTTGTGAGTAAATATTAAATATCATATTTGTATATTTCTCCAGTCATTGTTGATCTTACTTTTGCCATTGATTTCTTGTTGTGTTTTCATTGACATGTGCTTCTTTCAGCCATTGGGCAAGTGTATATGTCACAATATCATTTCAAGTGTCTGTTTTATAGAAAAACTGTACATTTTATGAAGAATAAATTTTTAGAGTAAATCTCAATTTGGCTTTTTCCTTTTGTATTGTTTGGAGGACCTGAACTTTGGCTAATATATTAAGCAATTATCGCACTATTGTTTAAATGATCCATTATATTTCAGGAATAGACAGTTGTTTGTCAATTATTTATGACTACACAAAAGTACATTTCAACAAATGTACTCCTGAAATTAGACCTGTGAAGAGCCGTGTTAAAATAGGTTTCAGCAACCTATGTTTGTCATAAGAGGAGACTATCCTTGTTGTAAGAGGTGACTAACGGTATCAGGTGGTCAGGCTTGCTGACTTGGTAGATGCATGTCATCGTATTCCAATTGCATGGATTGATGCTCATGATATCAATCACTGGATTGCCTGGTCCAGACTCAATTATTTACACACTGCAGTCATATAGCTGGAATATTGCTGAGTGCGACGTTAAACAACAAACAAAACAAAACAAAACTGCACATAAATGCTTTCACTCGGTCAATCTATAATTTTCTCTGCAACTCATTCTATTTGATCCTTTAGGCAAAACTGCATGTAGAGTTTGCAATGGTATCTATGTGACTTGTATTATTTACAGACCGCCGTCCTATAGCTGGAATATTCCCAAGTGCGGCGTTAAACAAAAAACAAACCGGCAAACAACACTTGAAATTAATGATACTATTTTTTTATATTTTTATATGACACTCATACAGTGAATGATTTCAAATTTGTTCTAAAACATGTTGCCGGTTGGACTGGAACCTGCTTCCTGCTTACTGTAATTTGAGGACATGTGACCTCAGCTACAGTTACACCTGACAAGATGTTGTGAAGTTAACTATTTAAACTATTTTCAAATGTTTGTATTATCTTTGAAAGCCAAGAAAATAACATATGATGTTGCATTACATAATGTTACATTAACAATGTTCATAATAAAGTAATTAGATAACCCTCGAACAAGAAAATCTAAAGAACAGGAGAAGTATACACAAAGAAAAGAAGTTAAGCACACCCTAAAATATTTCATTACTGTTTGGTCCCAATATTTGTAACAGTCATGAAAGATATAATTACGAAATGTCACGTGCCATGCATGGTATGCCCGTGCAGCATGCTACCTTCGAGTATTTCTAAAAGCAGTATATCCAAACAAAATTGCTATCATAAGCTCGGTTTTAAACAATTGCTAGTATTCCATGACATTGTGTGACCATGGCACGAAGGCGATTATCAAACGCCACAAGATGGCAATTAATCGGTATGCATAACGCAGGAATGTCTTGTAATACCATTGGTAGGAATTTTGGGTATCATCACACTGTCGTAAGCCGTTTAGCACAGAAACAGGCTCAGGCCGGTGGTGTGCAGGGCCGTCCCATATCCGGAAGACCTGTGACGACACATCGCGAAGACAGGGACCTTCTTCGTCTCATACGCTGAGAACCCTTTTTAACAAGTACTCGTCTCAAACAGCTGTGGTTGCCCGATCGTCGTTTCAGCACCAGAACCGCAAGGAACCGACTGAAAGCAGCAGGACTGAGGGCTAAACGAGTCATAAAGCGTCCCTTGAGAGAGCACCACAAAACTGCTCGTTTAGCATGGTGTATTGCGCGACAGAACTGGAATCTGAGAACTTGGAGACGGATCCATTGGTCAGACGAAGGTCGCTTTCTGCTCCACGTCACTGATGGAAGAACGAGAATTTGGAGGCACTGGAACACGGCCTACACCCCCAGGAACATTTAACCGGCTATTGCATACGGCGGGGGCTTAGTAATGGTTTGGGTGTGTATCTCTCTTGATTGCAGGTTTGGTTTGGTCACCATAAGGGGCAACGTAACAGGGGCTCAGTACATCCGGGACATTTTGAGACCAGTCGTCATTCCTCATTTTGACAACCACCCTCTTGCTACTCGACCTCAGTACATGGATGGCAATGCCAGGCCTCATCGTTCGCATGCAGTCGTGGATTACCATGAGGGCCAATGCAACAACGGCTCTACCCTTGCAAGCAATGAACCCAGATTTGAACCCCCTTGAACATGTTTGGG